TTGTTTTCGTTATAATAACAAAGAAACTGAGAATATTTCATTGGCCCTACAAGCGCTTAATTATGTCAATAAGCACTTCCGTCTTCGTAATCCCAGTATAGGGGCAAAGCAGTAGTAATTTAAATCCCATTTTATTTCATTTCAATACGCACTTCGGTAGCCAACCGGGTGTCTAGCTAAAGCAAAACAGTTGACATTCAAGACCCCGGGAAGCGTGAGCTTCCGTTTCGACACATAATTGTTCCCTATAAGACGACCATGGTAATCTGACAATCGCAAAATGAACCATGATGGTACCAAGACATGTTGGTCATTCGACAGCTTGGAAGGTGTTTCAAGGTATTCCCGTTCAGAAATCGCTGCACTTTCATTCCCGTTTCCATACGAATTGCAAACGGCTTCTGTTGGAGATAGTGGCTGCGTTACTGACAAGTAAAGGGTTGCTCGGTAAATGACCAAAGAATTTTGTTAACGAGCCTTAATACACCACACGTCACACACCGTCATTCTGACAATTCTCCGATTGAAATATTACCATAAGTATCATTTTAGTATTGAAATAGTGTCATTAGTAATATTAGAATATTTCAATACTGTAAAAATTTTAATATAGTAATATTTCAATACCATAATAACACTAGTGGTAATATATGTAAAATAATATATTTTGCAGTGATATCACATGGAGCAAAATAGCAAACGCCAGAAAAGGCGCAGAGTCAGAATGGGTTCAACGTAGTCGACTAAAAACAGTGTCAGCTCTTATTAACCCATTTGAATAAGTTCATTGTATGTAACTGAGTCTTCCACAAAACTGTAGATTGATTGCGATTTTTCAGCAAATGGGTCTCATCACGCAAATATCCTTCGGTCCTAAAACTAATAAAAAACTAATAAATAAAAAGAGAAATACTTGCTTCTCCTAACTTTTGGATCAACCACTCAGTCGGCATTATGTCCGTGTATAAAAGAAATTTGAAATCCGAACCATTAAAGTGTGAATTTTGGATTTGTATTAAATTGACATCATCTCACAGATATCTCCGGTAACAAGCGTTTTCGGGTCATCCGGAACCAAATCATCGAGAACAAGTTGACTTTAACTAAAAACTTTTTAGGGATTTTGTCCGTGCAAGAATCAGGGATCTACGATAAAAATTCATTTCAATAAATTTCTTATTTTCAATAAGCCAGAAATTTTAAGTTTTATCTTAATTTCGATATTAATTGTATGATTAATACAGAAGTACACCAAAACTGAAAATAGATATAGTTAAAGGTTATTTCATTACAGGTGAATTATCTGTGTTTACAATAACAAATAATGTAGGTGGCTTGAGGAGTATATAAACAGGGATTATGTCGAGGTTTTTAATTAAGCTTGAATAAAGTTTGTTCATAAAGATGTTCGCAAAGACACTGGTAGTTCTTCTGGTCGTAGCCCATCTGGGGTTTGGTGAAAAGGTAAATTTATTTGGAAATCATTTAAACATGCATTATGCAAGAGCAAAATCTGCTTATTACAAGTCTTTCTTTAGGCCTGAAATGTTATCTAAATTATCAATTAGACATTAATTAACTTATCCAGACCATGTCCAGGCTAGCCTTCGATGTTGGCTGGATTAGATTCCTATATGCCGCTAACGGCCATTGATAATTAAATAAAAAAAAGTGGATAATATTAATGATTTTAGTAATGATGACCGAGACTATGCAAAAATTTCACCCGCTTCTTTATCGGCTCATAGTGGATCAATTTGACTGAAATTTTCAGCAAATTACCTTTACACTATCTAGTTTTTAATTATTATATGCGAGAACTGCCATCTCTTTATCTTATCTCCCATAATGTATCTTTAATCAGTACAAAGTATTGTTAAACATTATTTCTGCATGGTTTGTAGATATGTTCTTAAGGGGGCTTAGAAATTTATAGTTATGAGCATGGAACCGAATGTACATCATTTTTCAATTTTTAAAGCTTAATTGCATGCGACCAACCTCCTTCACAAATTCCTTAGTATTACTTTTAGCCGTGAGTAAGTGAACTATATGTGAGATTATTACATGGATGTATATTGAGACCATAATATATTTCAGGTTATTGATCAGAATCCACGGTTCACACGAAACGGTAAGTTGTGCCATCAAACTGCTTTAAATTTATTTATATTAGCTGTTACTTAAAATATTTATTCCGAATAACGCACACGTTTTTATTTTAGTTTCATTGAAAAGCAAACCCCAATATTGAAACAGACAACATTCTCTAATTATATAAGATATGAATTGAAACTTGGGGATCCTCTAAAGACGATGTAAATGAGATACTGCCAAAAACCAACGCATTTTGTTATGTGAAGGGGAACTGGGCTAAAATCGACTAAACCTAGTAGCCCATACATTTAAACACTCTGAAACCAACCGAAGTAATGAATGTGATGCAACTCATTGCAGATCGTCCCAACAACAATTTGTTAATCGATATTTATAGTCCATAAATGAAACCAAACGAAGAAATGAGTGTGATGTAACTCATTGTAGATCGTCCCAACAATAATATGTTATTCGATATTTATATATGAAATGTAATTGGTGTAAAAGAGTAAGGCGTCAAAACAAGTTTCATTTCATTTCCATAAAATGTACCTTTATAATTTAAGTTTGAATTGTTTTTTCAATATGCTAATATTTCATCAGATATTTATATATAAAATATGGTTGGGGACGAAAAGAGGGGCGTTAAACCCCATTACATTTATATAAAATACATCTGTATAATGTTAATACGATTTAATGTTTTTATGAAACTTTGAATATGACGCAGTGTTTTTTTTCCGTTTTAGCGCTTGTTATATTGATCAAGTCTATATTTTGTATGTTTTATATTTCAGTTAATTTCAGTTCTACATACAACTACAACTATTACAACCCTAGTTCAGCTTACTACAATTCTGGCTTAGCATACAACGGTAGCTCTTCGTACAGTTCCAGTTCAGCATACAATCCTAGCTCTGCATATAATTTTGAATCATCATACAACCCTAGCAACGTATATTACATGTCGGCATGCTCTGCTGAGAGTTCAAGATTCCAAGGGAATGGTCAGTTGCATCTTCATAATTCTATTTCTGCTTTCAGTAAAAGATCATTGTGAATTGTGCAGTATTTTGAATGGTATTTTAACTTGACCAGCGCTACGCATAAGTGGGCAAATTATATTCCCAGATGCCATAGGTGGGCGTATGTGTCGTTGCCGGGCAACTTGTATTTTACACTTGGCAAATGGTTCATATATCTATGAAATCTATGATTCTCATGTTCGCTATAGTTTTATTTATGTATTCTGTATTTATTATGATCTATATATATTTCAGTTAATTCCAACATACAGCCCTAGCTCTTCCTTCAATTATGGTTCAGCATACAATCCTAGCTCTGCGTATAATTTTGAATCATCATACAACCCTAGCAACGTATATTACAGCTCGGCATACTCTGCCGAAAGTTCAAGATTCAAACGGAATGGTTAGTTGCATCTTTATAATTTGAGTTCCGATTTTAAGGAAAGGTCGCTGTGTATTGTGAGGAATATTGAATTGTTTTGTTTTGTTTTCAAAAGTGGTAAAGCTATGCCACCTTCATTCCTGTAGGAGCATTCATTCTTCCGTGAGAAGGTCAAATTAACGCTTATACATCATTTTCAGTACATTGGGGTTAAATTCCGTATAGTTGGTCACTTTTTCCTGTCTTGTCTTAAATTGTTCCAAAAAGAATCCTATTAATTTCTACAATAACTTTTAGATTAATGCCCCTTCGTTACGAAATTTCGGTAGCAATTGAGAGGTCACAATTATAAACCAATCTTTCTCCTGGTATTCCACTGTTTTCAAACTACTGTTAGTACTACAACAGGTCATCAAGCACTCTGGCTGAATTTATTGTCTAACTCATTAAAAAGGACAAATATTTAAATGGTTTAATATAATTGCTCACAGGGTTATTCTATTGTTAACTTATTAGCTTCAAAGTTTTAGAAAGGACCATTCGGCCAAATAGATTCTCACACGTATGTGTTCTTGTCTGAAACTTGTATTTGAAACGAGTATATATATAACTATGAAATTTGCGGTTCTACTGTCCGCCAGTTTTATTTATCTATTCTGTATTTACTATGATCTATGTATATTCTAGTTAATTCCAGCTCAGCATACAACGATAGTTCTGCCCATAATTCTGGTTCAGCATACAGCGGTAGCTCTACTAGCAATTCTGGTTCTGCGTATTACCCTAGCAAAGATTATTACAGCTCCGCATACTAATGATACCACTGACGTTCACTTGATTCAGAAAATGGGAAAAAGAAGAAAGTATTGCCAATAAATTTTTTAAATTTTCTGTTTCAAAATTTCAAACCCTGAGATGTGACTTAATCGTTGAACAGTATCGAGTTTAACAGGGGCATGTGCAGAAAAATGAGGGGGTGGCGGGCTGTTCCGGCTTCCAGGCCAGAAAATTCGAGTGGACAGAAATCGTCACTGCAGTCCTTGCATCAGCACTGAAAAAAGTAAATATTCCAGTGCATGGTTGCCTTATCTTGATACCCCCTAGTTAAACTCTATCGTAATATATGACTTATTTACTTATGATTAAAAATGTTTAGAACTAATTTGGGGGCTCCTCTAGTATTGGGGGCGCCCCTCCCCCTTAATCCGGCATCATGTCACTTGACTATCATTTGGATACGACTTCATTAGTTCTTAGGGCTTTACGTCAACATCCAATTAGCTCACAAAGGACACTGAATTGTTAGATTATCTTTATTTAAGACAGGGGATTGGGTGGCCGAATGGTTAACGTGTGTGCGTTGGATCAGAAGGTTAAAACATTGTTCTGTAGACATAAAACGCAAACCAGACTAGCATAACAATAAAGTATAGATTTCAGGGTTTTTCATTATATATTTATAGATCTAATAAAACATCAATGATAACACAAAGTAACAAAGTATAGATAGTTTTATTATCACTATTATATTTATAGATTTGATAAAACATCGATGATAAAGACCACAAAGAATAACATAGTATAGATTTTAGCTTTATTATCACTATTATATTTATAGATTTAATAAATCATAAATGATAAAGAACATACAGAGTAACAAACTATAGATTTTAGCTTTATTATCATTATTATAATATTGGATTTAATAAAACATCAATGACAACGAATATATAAATAAAGTCACTGAAGTATCATTAATTATAGATTACCATTGTTATATTTGAGCAAGACTTAAAGAGGTCCAACATTTGATTTGTATAAAATATAGTAGAAGCCCAATTAAAACTCCCAAGGTAAGGGGGGAAAAAATCATTTCTCGGAGTTCTAGATTCTTGCCAATGACCTTTCTCAATTGATACTAAAATCATCCACATACCAGTAAGTTGTTATGCATAACTGGTTAGGTAATTATTTTTAACATTAGTAATATAAAGACAAAACACAACTGTCAGACAATATAATATAGAACCGGGGCACTACAATGAAAGGCTAGTCAACGACAAATAGATCAATGCCCACCATCAGCTTTGTTGGCTTTGCTTTATCTTTATTAGTAAGCCAAGTCCAATTTATTTTCATTTGTTTCTTTTCTCACTATTTTAACCAATGTTAACTAATTATAAGTTGTAACATACAGTTACAATGGATTTTAAGATATTACGGTTTTTATAAACAAAGCGCAAACAATAACTAACTTCTTTGTTGAGAATCCACAAGAATCCGGGTAATAACTCTTGAAATGAAATCAAATGGGGTTTAACGTCCTACTGTTCTGTACCGACTGAGCTAACGAAGACTGGGTATAATTCTGGAACTAATTGCACGAAATTATTGAATTCAATAGTCATCACCGTCAACATATCTTGTGTAAGATTTAGATAAAGCGCTGACAGTTCTGGCTATAGTAGTTAAAAAAATAGATAATGAAAAGTGAATATGTTGAAAATGTCAAAGTACTTCATTCAAAGTGTGGATTATCTATTTTTTAAATTAAATCATATTAACTGCCAATCATATCTTAATCAGTTAAAAGTCCAAACCCTACAAAATTCTAGAGTTGATTATGGACATTGCATGTAAATAAATATCTAATTAATGATTTATATACCATTTGAGGCCAAACAAAAGATCTCCATTAGGCAGACATAATGCATCTTTAAGATCTGTTTATAAACTTTGTCTCTTACATTGTTCACAAGTGAACATGGAGGAATGAGTGACTACAACATACGACCACATAAAGAAGCTGGAGTACAAAAACAACGTACTGTGGAACAATTTCACATTTCTCCAGAATTGAAGATAAAGAATCATAAATATATACTTAAAATATTTATAAAACAAACAAAATGTTGCATATCAAAATATATACATACTAAAACATGGAATAAAAATATACATTGTGTACACCAATAACAAATCTTAACAGTAAAGGTTAAAATATTGACTAAGTTAAAGACAAAAGACCTACACGTAATAAGGTATTATAAGGTCCATGGTTTAACCAATGTGTACCCTGAAGATTTCAATTACCTCTATCTGTAATAAGAATATGATTACCTGTAACATTAGACCTGTTTATACTGTTATTTATTTTATTAAATAAGAGACAATCAAACATTTCCAAAAACACCTTGAAAGGCATATCACAGTCTGAACAAAAGTCATAAAAAGTCAAAATATGCCTTCTTAAGCTAATGCACAGTGCAAATTTAGGAGTTACGTTGAAAATACACAAACTACCAGTGAACAAAGTTCATACCATTTATTTCTTTTTAGAAAACAGACAGAAGTGGTGATGTTAGCCCTTTGGCTTGATGGGCTATAAAAAACATTAAAATTGCACAATATTTACAAAATATAAATTAACTTCTCTAACAATTCCATAACAACATTAGGCCTAAACAACAATTCCATTAAACAAACTTAATACATGTATATACAATTTCTTAAAAAAGCTGAAAATCAGGTATTGTACTAAAAACAGTACAGGGTATATTCTTTGAATGGCATTTAGTAATTGAAACATAATCAAATAATACACTATTTATTTATTGATAACAATTACTATGGTTTATTTCACCGCCAGGTTTCAACAAGATTTTACAGGTTGTTATCAAGCATATCAACACAAATCATTTCATTTTATTTATTTGTGTCGATATATGCTTGATAACTACTTGTGAAACCTTGTTGAAACATCAGTGAAATAAACCATATAATTGTTATCCACAAATAGTGTTTTATTTGAATACAGATTATATTTTACGATTTCTTCATAGCATAGTTCAGTTTAAGAAAAAAGATAAATTTCTTATATATACAATTCAAGAACAATTTGTTTTTACAAAGTTTTATTAATACAAATACTATTCTCGGTTCTAAAGGCTCACTGTGGTGTGTATTTTATCTTCAAAGCTATATATAAATATTGGTTTAGGTATATACTGTGATGAAACAAAGTTCACCACTGTTTTCAGTTTGAGAGAATTTATCTGAGGTGCAAGTGAGTGATCGTAAAACATCATTCTCAAGTAAAAACATCATTTTCAAGTAAAAACATTATTATCAAGTAAAAACATTATTCTCAGGTGTTATCTTCATGATCAGATTTTGTTGCATTCAGAATTGCAGGATTAAAGTGCATCTCTCATATGAGATTTACAAGAATACAATTAGAACAGTATTTGAGTGGTGCTGAATCTGTAATTAACTCAAAATAAATGGCAGGATATTATGGTGCATGGAGATCTAAAGTGCTAATATTTAAAATGATATAAAAAAAAAATGTATGCAATTTCAACGAGGCTTAGTAATATTTTAAACGATCCTGAGAGGAGAATGCTATGATTAAATATTTATAACACTTTGACTTGGTAGCAAAATGTTGGAATATCTGGATGTGCATTAACCCCAAATGATACAATAGATGGTTACAGATTGCAAATGGTATCTCATCCAAACACATGCTCTGCCTTATTTCATATCAGATACTGAAGTTGAAATTCAAAATATAATTCTGTGTTTGAAGAGTTATAAGCATGCATAAACAATAGTATCCATATTGTTTCTAGTGACGTAACACCAACTGTAACAGATGTAGTTATAATTGGTGACCTTAAGCAAAATATAAATTGATATAGTAAGTATCTGGTTAAATTACATAGCAGGGTATGGTGGTGGATCTACAGGTGGGTAGGCTGCACCTGAAAGAAAAATCAATCAATAATATTGATTAAAATCTTAAACTGTCGCGTTTCTGGTGAACCGACGAATCTGATATATTTAAGTATTGAAAATTATGCGTTTGAAATTTGCGATCTGTTATCTCTGTAGCCATCAAATAATAACATTTATGTAAACGGCGTTTGGAGCCCTGATGTATATGTATGAAATATTAAATCACAAATGAATTTTGAAAAATGAACCCCAAATATGCGATTTAGTGGCATATCTGATTATAATCTCTGTCAAATAGTATATCTCATAAATCAATTAATTTAGGCCAAAATCCCGACCTGCAAGTAATTTACAATCATCAACCTGTGAAATCATCATATTGTCATATTATGCAGGATTCCGAATTCTGGCCCACACCCAGCACACCCGGCCCAGAAAGTCTATTATATCAGCCCATTCCGGACTCCAGTGATGGCGTGGCGGTCCGTTAAAGCCACCGGCCACATACAACATGATCATCATCGCTCCATGACCGGTCCAATACCCCCACCCCCCCATATAATGTTCAGCAGAAATAGGTTTTTAAGACGAATTGGACAAAATTATTTTTTTCAGTTTTTTGTCCGACCGGTCCATCGGGCGATCTCCTGATCCGCCCCTGAACAGAACGCAAATTTCAAACTCATAATTCTCAATACTTAAATATCAGATTCGGCAGTTCGCCAGAAGAGCGACGAAACTATTAACTTTTCTCAACCTATATTTCATGTATGGGTATAATCTATCATTAGTATTGGTTATAATTTAACAATTACCGGTAGTGTTGGTACAATTTATTAGTAGGTATAGTTTTAATACAATTTATCATAAGGTATAGTTTTAATACAATTTATTAGTAGGTATAGTTTTAATACAATTTATCATTAGTTCTGGTATAAATTTATCATTAGTACTGGTATAAATTTATCATTAGTTTTTGTATAATTTATCATCATCAGCATTGCTAAACATCATCACCACTACTAGTACAGCTATAATTTATCTCCAGTAATGTGGAAATTTGAAATTAATCAACACACTGGCTCACGAAGAGGACCTAAATTTGTTTCTTTCTGTCATACTATAAACTACATTATTCCATGAAAATATATAATAGATTTATATACTTACCACCATAGCCTTGTGGAGGAGGAGGTCCACCTTGTCCTGGGGGAGGATATGGCATGTTTCCTTGTGGTGGATATGGCATGTTTCCTTGTGTAGGATACGGCATGTTTCCTTGTGGAGGATACGGCATGTTTCCTTGAGGAGGATACGGCATGTTTCCTTGTGGGGGATATGGGTTCATGCCTGGCTGTGGTGGATATGGTTGTCCACCCTGATTTACATCTCCATCTGGTAATGGACCTTTCTCTGCAACACAAAATTATGAAAAACATATTCCCAATCTCCAACAAGAGTTGCTTCAGGAATCGGGACCATTGCGAAACTGAGCTCTTAAATACATGTAAAACCAAGAAGTAAGCTGTATCGGGTCCTGTGAAGAATTCACAACTTTACCTCTTGTCGTCGTCCAAACACAAGCGTAAATTGAACTTACTCAACTGAACCCTTGCCATCATGAGCCAATATATTTGTTTAACCTGATGATTGGCTAACAGTCTAGAGTACTGGCCAATGAAAGCCTACAATACAATAACTGCAGTAAATGTAGTACATTAATAATTCTAAAATGAAATGAAATGGGGTTTAATGTTCTACTAATGAAACCAGGATATAATTTTAAAACCATATAAATTTAAATCCAAGCTGTATCCAAGTCATCTGACGATCTACTACATATTTAATACAATTCCAAAATACATCTAAACAAGAGAACTAAAATCCATTGAACATAATATATGCTCGCCCAATATTTTTATATGCTCTATGATCAAGACTAGTAAACACTGTACTGTACCTGATGTTGGGTATCCAGGTTGGTCATACGGTGCAGGATACGACGGAGCTGGAGATCCTGTAAATATACAACCATATCATCATACAATCAGACTTTTAGTTCTGCAGTCATGCGATTGTCAAAAACTACTCCAATATCTCTCATTGAAAAAATCAGTCTTGATTAAAAAAGTTAAAGTACCAGTAAATAAATATACCGTTTTCTTATCATTCTGTTTAACAAAATTTAAACTCATCTAACATTTCACTGCACTGCATGTCATCTGCATATAAATGGAATTAACCGAGTTATGGCACAATGGTACATGTACCTACCAAGAGATGTGTATAATGTAAACAAGATATGTCCTAACACCTAACTGTGTGGTACACCGGTTGAAAGAATTGAATCCTTTGATACATGTATTGTCACATAAAATAAAGTTACACCACTTTAAAATTTGAGTTGACTATAAAGACTGATTTGAAGGATAGTTGCTAGAAATATCTCTTAAAGAGCTGGGTGTTCTTGCTATGATAGTTTAAAAATAGTGAAATGAATATATTGAAAATTTCAGTCAAATTATGAATGTTTGACAAGAATAGTCTTGATTGTCAATGATGCGATAATAATGGAAGTTTTGATTTTCTATTTAAAGATGCATTATGTAAGATTTAGATAATGAGCTGGAAATTCGCGCTATAATAGTTTAACAATAATAGAGAAATCAATATGTTGAAATTTTTAGTCAAATTATGAATGTGCGAAGATTTGTCAAGACAGAGAGAAATGGGATTTAACGTCCACTTAACTCAAACTAGATCATTTCGAGACTAACACATGGTTCAATTTTATTTAAATAATTTGTTTGCGCGTAGGGGTCTTTAGCGGTGGGAGGAAACTGGAGGGCCACGAGGTTGGACAGGCGACCCTACTCCTTATCACGTTCAACCGGGGAATCGAAACCAAGCCAGTTGACTCAATGACAGACCTTATGATACAGTGCGCACATGCTAACTATTCGGTCATCCAACCCCTCCCCCCAATCAAGAATAGTCTTGATTGTCATTGATACAATAATAAACCAAGTCTTAATTTTTTATTTCAGGATGCACTTTTAGATAACGAGCTGGTCATTCTAGCTATAATAATTCAAAAATATATAATGCAAAATGAATATTTTGAAAATTGCATTCAAATTACTTTATTCTGAGCGAAGTTATCATTGTTTGAAGTTTTGACAAGATGTTACAGTGGTACTGTATAATCAAGACTAAGCCCTGATTTGAAGCAAAAAAAAGGACCTGCGATAGGCAGATTTAGCTCTTACATAATGCATCTTTAGCATTAACTGATAAAATGGCGTGGATGGCTTAATCAAGTTAACATCCAAGTCTTCTGATCATATAGAGAGTTGATTATGGGCTTGTCATGTGATTAAAGGTCTACATAATAATCTATATGCATGTAACATTTGAAGCCCGATTTAGCTCCTTAGTGCATTCTTAATCATTATAAATGGATTAATTTTTATATAATATCAGCTAGAATGGGACGTGGATGGCTTAATCAAGTTAACATCCAAGTCTTCTGATCATATAGAGAGTTGATTATGGGCTTGTCATGTGATTAAAGGTCTACATAATAATCTATATGCATGTAACATTTGAAGCCCGATTTAGCTCCTTAGTGCATTCTTAATCATTATAAATGGATTAATTTTTATATAATATCAGCTAGAATGGGACGAAACTCTTGCCAGTTTTGCCTGTATCACGATAAACGTTGATTAGTGCAGAAAATAAGGCTTTGCAAGATCTGCATGTAATTTGTTATACCAGTTAGCATAAATCGAGACATAAAATAGTTTTTAGATCATAAAGCAAAGTAAGAAATAGATTGAAAAAATAGGAAAATGGTCAATACACCATTAAGGATAATAAACCTTTTCCTTAAATTTTACATCATATGTTGTTCTCATGTAGAATATAAATTTAGGTCAAAATTGGACAGAGTCGATAACAGTACATAAAACCACGTTTAATGTTGGTGTATAATGAAAATAAAGTGGAATAGACAAGAAAGTGCAAGTAAATAAATTGAAAACTGTGGAGCTACTGATACCCATATCTTCAGGAACAGTCGGATCTTCAGCTTTACCTTACAAACACAAATAAAACCATAACATGAACAACAAGACCCCATAGAAATAAAGAGGGGAAAAACGGTTGTGGTGTTTAATTATAGGTCAAATAGTTGGATTCATAATGTCAATAAACATCTATGTACCATATGGGTTTATGTTATAGGACATATGGTTGTATTAAAATTCAATAAACCATCTCCATGTATGGGTTAATGTTATAGGACACATGGTTGTATTAAAATGTCAATAAACCATCTCTATGTATGGGTTTATGTTATAGGACATATGGTTGTATTAAAATTCAATAAACCATCTCTATGTATGGGTTTATGTTATAGGACACATGGTTGTATTAAAATGTCAATAAACCATCTATGTACCATATGGGTCTATGTTATAGAACCAATAAAACCAAAAATGCAACTTAGCAGCAGGATATGGTCAAAATACTTACCAGGTTGTTGGCTGTAGGGTGGAGCTGGTCCATAGTTGTCAGGGTATTGTTGTCCAGGCTGTGTGGGTACATGCACCATGTCCACAGGACCTAAAAAAATATAGCAATAACATTTCATATACTCTAAGTCAATGATTTACATGTATAGTTTTACCACCATCTCACTGTGATCTATGATGCTCATGTCAATAGACCTAATGATATTTAGGATTAGGCCAAATTAAAAATACCTGTGTTTACGGTTACCCGACAAACACTAATTTATTTTAGCTCAGGTCTTGGCATGATTTTCTCTAGACAGATTTCAACACTGAAATTTCGTTATTATTTTCAAGAACCTTACTCTGTAATTAAAGGGCTATTTTTTTTTTAACCTTGAAATAGGCAAAATACAGCACATATTAAAGCAAATATTGTAATTTCTAATCAATTATGTTTGGTGAAATACGAGAACAGTTCAAATTGAATGGCAGTCGTTTACCTCTAAATAGTCCATTCTACACATTTTTAATTATCATTTTATCGTTTGTAAATCAGCCATTACTATTTACTTCCCGACTGTCTTGTTGGATATGTTTTTATTTGTTCTTTAGAAAATGGCACCCAAAACAGTACTGATAATAAAATGCTAATTGTGTCATAAATATGGAATAATTATTAGGATCCTATCTTTTCCCGGCAAGATAAAAATCTTGATTGATATTGACCAATATTCAAGTCTAGAGATTTAGCTCCTTTCAGCTAGAAATACTAGGAAATAGATATTATAAACCCCACGAAAAAAAAAAAAATTTTTGTGGTAAAATAACCGTAAGCACAAATATTTTATTTCTTGGTCTTATAGTATCTTCTTTGATTGGCATTTAGTAATTGAACATATTAACACAAGATACAATTTTATGGATACACAATTATAGTATGCTGGATAACCTATTTGTACAATACAGTCATGTACAAGATCCTAAGTACAAAAAAACATCAAAGAAAAAGTAAAATATTTTGGATTGAAAATAAGGAAGGGTTTCTCTCATGCAATCTACTGATACATAGTTATGACTTGCAAAAGACAGTTAAAAAGGTCCATTTCAGAATAATTGAGTTTCAAATTTTTATTGCCTCATCTAGAATAATTTACAGATTAATTGTTTTGTTCATGGTAATACTAGAGATTGATTTAAAAATCTATGTTGAATATTTTCATTTGAAGACGTTGGACGATTAAAAGCTTTTAAACAAAGTTACATGCATGGTTCTGGTGCTTTGCTTGACTTGATAAAGACCAGGTAAACCTAGTCGAAACATTGCTCAGTAATAGGCAGTAATTAAATTTCATAGAGTTATGACCTGTGTAGGCCTATACAGTGCATGATTCTGGTGCTGTGCTTGATGAGTGAACAGTAAATTTTTTCTGTGTGTTGTATACATGGTTTTAAAACAAATCTATAGAATTTAACACAGTGTGTGTTGAAATTAACTCACTTATGTAAACATTACTCAATATACAAATATATGAATATTACAGTAATAATTATGAGCATACTGATACTCAGACCTGACTAACAATATCAGTAATTCTACAGTATGAGTATCTATTACAATCAGTGGGCTAAACCCAGACGTAACTCTTATCACATACATGCCCTTCACCTGAACCTAAATGTTAATCATAACTAATGGCCAGTTAAATAGCGTGTCATATATATAGATGCTTAGAAATAATACAGGCATCATGAAGTGATGTCAACTACAATGTTGCACATTTCCTTTGTTCGATCCTTACAGCTTAACACCAGCTTCCACCTTGAGTAATATGGCAGGCAAGTGTTTCCAGGGAAACTTGAAAGAGAAGCCAATTAAGAGGCTCGTCTCGTATAGGTAGGAGATGGGAGACCGATTAGAGACCCATTCGATTCCGTTTTCTTTGGTTAAGACAATAACTTTTGAGGGGTAGCGCCCAAGGCAAGTTTTATCCGAAAAGTTGCTCCCAGTACAAGTAATAGGGTATTGCATAGACCGTAGGAGTGATAGTGAGCCGGGCGCAGTCTTGCCTGCGTTGCCATAAAGGATATGATCTTGCCGAGGCTGGATTGGTATGGAGAGTTGATCTGGCTGGCAGTTGGCTCTAGGGGAAAATCTAAAGTAGCCCCTTCTTTATACCTTATTTCACAGGGGAGTCAACAACCGTGAAATGGTCTCATTAATGACAGAATTAATATATTACCCACCACACAGCATGTTAGAATATATATTTATTAGTTGTCTGATGCCAAAAAGTGTTTATCACATGGGGTTAGTGAACCCAATATTTCTAAAGCATATTAGTATTTCTAAAGCTTATTATTATTTTTTTTTTTTTTTTTTTTTTTTTTAAATTCCATAATCAATTTTCGCATATAAAACAAGTTCTTGGTGTATAAATTATAATCAAGGGAATTTGACTTCTTTAATCTCTAGTAGGACATTAAACCCCATTTCATTAAATTTCATTTCTTTAATCTCTAGTAGGACGTTAAACCCCATTTCATTAAGTACGGTATCATTTCTTTAATCTCTAGTCATAAAAGGATAAAATGTTAACATATCTACTGTGTTATTTAACCGCGAGCAGAATTCTCGAAAATTATTTGGAATATAAAAATTAAGTTATTCAGACTATAAGATACAGCATGAGTTGATAATAGCCTAGTTAACAAGTCATTACATTTTCAAGCAATTTCATGGGTTTTTTTCCATATTTAATACACGATAAAATCTTATATTTTGGGAAATAAGCCTGTACCATAAATAATAAGTAGTAGCAAGTAGTTTCCTTAGTCGGCAAAGAAAAAAAAGTATGTGAAGAATAAAGTGTGGAAATAAAATTATAATTGTTGATGTACCTGGATCTTTGTGAACAGCAGCATATTGCTCTTTATCTAACAATCACAAATAAAATGAAATAAACATAAACCAAACAATAACAAACAAAAATCAAATAAACATAAACTATACAGAAATCAAATAAACATCAACTATACAAAAATCAAATAAACATAAACTGTACAAAAATCAAATAAATATAAAAAAAACACCTACATTTTTGTAAACATAAAACTCTAAGGATGTGAACCGAAAAGTGAATACCGGTAAATAAAAACATTCTATGGTACATATTATAGAAGAAACATCTTGACTTTCATCAATTAAATTATACCTATTATTTCACAGATAACACAAACTTTTTTACTTTTCTTTTGGCTAATCATTTTCAATTTGTTTTTTAGAATTTAGCAGAAAGGATTACTTTTTATAGAAATATACTAGTAACTATTTATTGTAAGGATATTATGGCAATCTCAAAGAAATTTTTTTTGGCAACGAATTATTTATTTCTAAACCCTTATAATAAGTTATAATCGAATGTTACCTTTACGAACATTAGCATAAGCATGTGTTTATAACAATGTATGACGACAGACATTAGGACATGGATGACAGCCATATTTAAATAATTCTCCATAAAATCAATCCTAGATGCTCTTCTGAATCTAAATCAAGTTAAGGATGTGATATGCTCCAAGCATGTAGTTTCTGTTTAAACTATAGATAGGTCTACTGTCCTTGGTCCCTTAATAAAAACAAATCAATCATACATTTAAGTTTAAAACAAGTTAAAACTTTTTCCCTCTTTAATAAAAAAAAAAGGGCAGTAAATTCAACTCACTTGAATTTTTGGAGGAAAACTTGCGAACAATCTTGCCACTTGTCCCAGATCGTTTACACACACAATAAACTATTATAGAAATAACTATAATCAATATAATCACACCAACAACAATACCAGCCGTTCTTCCTTTACTGTAATATATAATACATAATGTAAATATGGACAGTGTCAAATGCTACCAAGCTAGCATGCTATGAGAGACATTTTGCTTGGACAGCAAGCAACTGAATTCCAACTGTCCACAGCTCTTTTTATGTGCACGCCAAAGTATACATGGGACCTTGGTTTTTGTCCTTGTCAGTCCCTCCGTCCTGCATTACTGACCAAGGGATGGGCCACACCAGCAATTCCTGAGAAACATTCATGGTCAACACCGGAATCGAACCCAGGACTTCCATGTAAGTCAGCCAGCGAGTTAACCACTGAGTCACCGTGCCCCACCTGAGAAAATATACCTGCCAGTAGATAAATCAATGGTTGTCTCATTGTGAATCATTAGGTATGTAAAAACAAAAAGAAAAGTAATTATCAGGAGTTGCTGTAATTTTCATTCACTGTGATTAATCAAAAAATCAAATTGAAAAATAATGACTTTTGCTGTTAGTGTTAATGTATTCATAAAATTCGTCAGAGATAGCAAGGGCCATAACTATGGTGGCCCAAGGTCGCAATAGCATTTTTTGGTTTCGCACCTCTACTGCAGTTCCCATGGTCGTAGATTTGAAATTACTAGGGTTCTTGATAACGCTGTATGGAAAGTTAACTGTGTATTACTAGAAATAAGGAAAGGTCGAATTAAATAGTTGTCGATCTGTTAGATTTACATGATTTTGCAATAGAATCTATCTTCCCTGAAGGTATATCTATCCTAAATGCCATGGCCAGATTTATGTTAAATTATGCATAACTTACTCATCACCATGTTCAGAAAAATAAGCACAACATCTTTCTCTCAACGAATTTCCACAACAATAGGTGTAACTTTCCGGTTCACCATTCCGTGGACAAATAAAATATCCGTAAACTGTTCCATTTCCATCACTATCATAGTTATTCGTACAAACAGTTGGCACTAGAAAAATAAATTAGAGAGGCATTTTCACTTCCAGAAATAAAATATTATGTAGTAAGTTTATATTCATACTAAACCTATACTCAATCGATTCCCAAAAGTCCAAGCACTGGACATCTTTGAGCGCAAATCATTTACACGTATAAATGAGAGACATCAAACATGACTGAAACCATAGTTAATTAATCCCCTCATCCTGCCATTGCACTCAACCCTCCATGTTTCGAGATAAGAGATGGTGCTACATAGTTCCACATAGTAAAGCCCAACGGAAATCACATCGGGCCTCAGTAATTAAAACTGACAATATTTTTCATTAAAACAATGATTGATTGTTATTTATAGCATTTCTACCACAACTACAATAAAGCATATAAACCTACCTGAAACAGGTATACATCATCGTATTTAAAATCGAGACCGTAAGCCGTTTTTAGGAATGCATTTTTAAGCGGGAGATGTATGATGGTGTATGTCAGATAAAAACAACACTTCATTAATTTAAACGCAAATATTTGGAGTTAGGCGATAGTTGTGCCACTACATTGGCCTCTGTTAGTTTAATTAGTCGTAATAGTATAAAATTATCTTATTTTTAAGATGTTACATGCATTAATAAAGAAATTGAATTTGCCACTTGGAACTAAAGGCACCCAATGGTAGCTAAAAACAAGCACATCAGTATGTCTCAACGTTTTTAGCTACGTTCTCGTAGCTAATTTTAACCTATTGTGTCACAGGCCTTTGATCTTGCTGTGGGCATGTACATGTATTTGACTCATATCTGTATAAGCTTGATAACATGGAGAGAATACTCTTCGAAATGTTGCCTTAAATACAATAAGTGTGGGTGTTTGTTTTTATCCAGATATTAAATGCCATTTAATGACTGAAACAGAAATGTCTGATAAAAAAATATAGCATTAAACTTACTAGCATAAGGATCTCTTCGATATCGACTAGTCCTCATATATCGTGAAGCTCCATAAATACTTCCACCAATCAAAGCAGCTTTAAATGTGGTACGAGAGAAAGGACTAGATCCACTCCGAACTCGAACTCTATTTCTAACTCGAACTGAATTTCTAACTCGACTTGGGCTTCGGTAACTTCTGCTTGCACGATATCTGCTCGCACGATATCTGCCTCCACGAAATCCTCTTCCACTTTCTGCCAGCTGAATCTCTGATACAGAAATTAACATGAACTCACTTTAAGTAAATGTAAGATGTCGGGGCCGATACAGATTGGAGGAGGGGGGGGGGGGAGGAGGGGTTGCAGTGATGCTTACCCCTCATGTCATATTAGTCATATCTCTATTATTTGAATTTTTTTTTTAACATGCCATCACTCCAATAGAAACGTCTCTTGGTATTAACCATTTATAGTGCTCTATAGACTTGCAATATCTCTATTCTATTCATTTAAATTATTAATCATCTAAAGGGTCCTCGTAACACAACACTTTCCCAACTATTCTGGACTATCTGAATACTGGTAGTGGGGTTTTTTTCGGAGGGTTTTTTTTTCGGGTTTGTGTGATTTTAAGTATAACTTAAGGAGTGTTTGGCTCTAATTTATGTAACCTTGAAATAGACAGAAATAGTTCTAATAGCATACATTTATATTAATGTAATATGAACGTATGTGAAGTGATTTATATTTAATTTTTTGGAAAAAAAAAAAATTATAATTTCTAATCAATTATGTTCGGTGAAATACGTGAACAATTCAAATTGAACGGCAGTCGTTTACGTCTGTTTAGTGCATTCTACATGTTTTCTAAATTATTATTTTGTCATTTGTGAATCAGCCTTTACTAATTACTTCCACATTGTATTGTTGAATATGTTTTTATTTGTTCCTTACAAAATGACACTCGAAACCATAGGGTACACGACTTGTGTACTGATTATAAAATGTTAATTGTGTCTTAAACATACATTATGCAAGAGCTAAATCTGCCTATTGCAGGTCATTCTTTAGGCTTCAGAAGTTATAGAAATTATTAATTAGACCTTTATTTACATGACAAGCTCAAATGAACTCTGTAGACCTTCAGATAGCTGGGATACAGCTTGGATTTAAACAGTCATCCATTTAATAATTAAATCAATATATGGCCGACCAAGCTAATGTTTACCATTAGTCACTGACGTCACTAGCGGAGACTGCCGATGAAAGGCCTGTTAATCGAGGGTACCATATGTAGCCATTGAGATTGTTACAATGTACTTGATAATCGAGAATATGTGGGTGGAGTTATCGTCTGTCAATCAAACGATAGGCAATTCTTAGACAGTTGCTTAGACAGTTGATGCCTGTTTATAGTCCAAACTTTCAACAGTAACAACTCCATTCAGAATAAACTAATTTCACTGAAATTTTCAATATTTTCTTTTATTATCATCTATTTTTAAATTATTATAGCAAGAATGGCCAACTCTTTACTAAACTCTTAACTAGTGTCTCTTTAAATATACTATTCAAAAAAAGTAGGGGATATTTGATTTTGGGGGCATAATACTAAAATATGCAAATGACTACGAAAAAAGTCACTATAGAACCTAACAGAAGAAACATTTCCAGTTACATGTGACGCCCAAACGCACCAATAGCTACCGCATGGAATGCAGGTGATGCTTGGGATCATCATGGGGGTCCAACCCAAGATTTGCACGACTCTGACTTTGAATGTTACAGTCATTGTGGCATTGAATTCCAGGGTGGAAACATCAGTTTAATTGTTTTAGTGACCAGAAAACAAATTTTGATATGCGTCGGCTTACCCAAAATGAAAGGTTACGTGCCCTTGGCATGCTACAGATCGGCACAACACAGGCGGTTGTGGCGCGGACGATGAATGTTTCTCAGTCTGTCATAAGCAGGCTATGGTCCAGATACCGTGATACACAATCTGTACAGGACAGACCACGCTCAGGTCGACCAAGGGCGACAACTCAAGCCCAGGATCGATTTATCCGTACCTTGGCCTTGAGAAATCGTGTCATCACAGCAAATCAGATCAGCACTCGTCTTCAAACAGACACTGGTGTGAGAGTGAGTGGCCAGACGATTCGGAATCGACTGCATAGGGGTCACCTTCGCGCCCGACGTCCTCGCGTGATCCCTTGTTTGAGAGATCATCACATTCAGGTAAGACGTCGTTGGTGTAGGGATCGTCAACACTGGGATAATCGACGCTGGAGCAATGTGATGTTTTCAGATGAGTCAAGGTTCACTGTTGATTTTTTGGACAGACGTAGGAGGGTGTGGCGTCGTCGAAACGAGCGCTTCCAAGACGTTAACGTCATCAGACATGATCGATTTGGGGGTGGTTCTGTTATGGTGTGGGGAGGCATCACTGTTGCTGGAAGAACGGCTTTACATGTTGTTGCAGGGCGTGTTACAGGCCAGTACTACCGGGACAACATCTTGGCAGTCCATGTTGTGCCGTTCGCACGACGTCATGGCCGCCGTTTCATCTTCCAGGATGACAACGCAAGATTTCACAGGGCCAGGATCGTTACAGGTTACCTCCAACAACAGAACATCACCACATTACCTTGGCCAGCACTGAGTCCCGACCTCTCCCCCATCGAGCATGTCTGGGACATGCTTGGACAGAGGTTACGTCAACGTCAACAACGACCTGCCAATGTCCAAGAACTTGCTGCTGCGTTGCAACAGGAATGGGACAATCTGGACCAAAATGACCTTAGACGTCTCATTAGGAGTATGCCACGTCGGATCAATGCTTGTTTGGCAAACAGAGGAGGATTTACCCGTTACTGACTTGGTTGTGATGCTGTGGTAACTTTGCTGTTTGACCCCGGGTATCATTTTACCCTTATAATGGTCAGTCTGTGCCTTACTTAGTCTAACGATCATTTGGAATAAATCGATGAATGTGAACTTCATTTCATTTTGTCATTTGTTTCTTCGTCAGTTTCATTAGGTGACTTTAATAACACTTAAAAATCAAATATCCCCTACTTTTTTTGAATAGTATATTAGGATCCTATAGTTTCACGGCAAGATAAAACATCAATATTGATTGAAATTGATCAATATTGAATTTTAAATCGTGTTTTTAATTTCGAATATTATGAAAAATATTGTGTTAAGAGACTTAGCAGCTTAGCTCCTTTAATAAAACATGCTCTAGCAAATTGTACAAGCCGAAAAGGGATCTGACGTGTATTATCATATCATATCTTCAGAGTATACTAGGTCATTTGACCTGTGTCCGCTTTTGTGAATTCTCGGTCATTAGCTTCAGATAATATAATATAGTCAATAATAATAATAATATATCCAATGTTTTAATATGTTTGATATCACAGCAGTCCACAATTCAAAAACCACATTATATAAAAACAGTTTGGAAGAGTCACAGTAATTTTTAAGTTTTTTATAAGGTAATTGGATTTATAATGATAAAAGGTTCAACCGATATGACAATCATTTTAAAAGTCTATTAGAAGAAAGTGCCCACGATTAAAGAACAATATTGGTGTCAGTCATTATCATATATGTGATAGAACTCATTAAATACGTTTCAAATATAATTCTAACACAGAGATCATTGCTGCGATAGAGGCGTAATGAAGGTTTCAACAATCAAAAGTGACGAACGCAAAAGGAAAACACGAGTTATCCCTCTATATAACTGACTGAAGTGAAGAGTGATAATAGATACATGGGCGAATTTCTGCTCACTAATAATTCCTTCGAAGACCAAAAGTTGTTATGTGAGACCATAAGAGGATATCTGTCAATTCATAAAAATAACTGACTTTCACTAGTTAAGAAAAAACGAGAAAAATAGCAAGAGTCTGTGCATTACCATGCTTTTATAAGGTATAGAATGAATAAAATCAAGGGAATGTATGGACTATTTCTATTTTTCTCACGTCAATTATTTTTTTGAATTGTTAGATATCGTCTTACAGTCTCACGTGTACATAACAACTTTTGGTCTTCGAAGGAATTATTGGTGAGCAGAAATTCGCCTGTGTATCTGTTATCACTCTTCGCTTCAGTCAGTTATATAGAGGGATAACTATCGTGTTTTCCTTTTGCATTCGTCACTTCCGTTTGTTGTAACCTTCCTTAGGCATCTATCGTAGCAATGATCTATGTGTTATAATTATATTTGGAAGTGTTTAACCCTTTCAATGCTAGACGTAAATCCACTGCCTGTGCTAGACCCTTTTTTGAGTAAAAAAGGGAGGTTGGAACTGAATGCCAAGCAGTACTTATGGAAGCTTTTATGAAAAATCTTTTTGTCTGTTGGGATGAGCATGAGGTTGGGCTAAGAGGAAAAAATAGAATTTTGAAAATTTGCATAATAATGTAGTCACGTGACGTCATGGCGGCCATTTTGGATTTCTCATTTCTCACTAAAGCTAACACGAAAACGAATTTTTCTCCATGAAATACTTATGAGATATTGTTTTTTTCACTGGATTTTGATAAAGATATATAAAATGAACAAAAATATCAATAGCAGCCATGAGCAATGCCACCACGAACACGCACATCACGTCTCCCACTGCCATGACCACGTGCGGATTGCAATACCTTGTTTTTACTTTCACTTCCAAGTCCTCTATCATTATCAATATAGTCAGTCAATAGATCTACACGTTCGGGACTCAGGAATTGCCTACGTCTTTTACGATCCAGCAGGCCAGCATTATTATCAACATCAGAATTATTGTCAGAATCTACTGCAGACACAGGGCTATCGTGTTCACATTGGGCTGGTTCATCATGCACGGGAGACATAGCTAGCCATGGGCGGAACGTCGCGCAACAAATCAGACACTTCATAATACCAATCACTGTCCTGACTACTATCATTATCAAGTAACTGGAAACGAATTATGTGTATCACCCGCCTCGAAATTGTCCACGTGTTGGTCAGCAAGACGTCATTCACGACTTCGTCGAGAGTGCATCGTCTACGTTGTCACTATGCACTCCGCCATTTTACGGTTTGCGGCTTTGAAACACGTGGAAATGTGTTCTAGTGTATAGAAAATACAATAGATGACACTTGCAGTTACGGTACTAATTTTAGCGAGGGCTTTACTGAGTACACGGTAATACCGGGTACGCGCATTTTACCGACATTTTAGAATACCCGGTACTACCGGGTATTTAACAAGTTCTATGATAATGACTGACACCAAAATTGTCCTTTAATTAAGTATATTACAAATAACTCACCGTGGCTATGCATAATGCATGCTATATAATTTATAAACAATGTTCAGTAATCGCCTCACAATTAATCACTCGTACTGTGACAATTGAGAAAACCAAAAGCAGAACAGAATGAATTTACGTGCCAAAAAAATCATGGTTCTCTGGCTATGCTATGTCGATATAGGATAAAACTTTACTTATTAATCAGGGCTTCATTATTGACATTATATTAGACCTACGTTAACTGCTGTATTATTATTCTATTATTTTTGTACCATCCATGATGACCTTTCGCATCGTTACAGATGTTTGTGTCTTGCCGATCACAATCGACAAGACGCACAATTTTAAAAGATATAAAAATATAATAAACAAATCTTTTCTCACCTAATATTGCTAGCAAAACAAATATACAAACGCAAAATCCCACAACGGCTTTCAGGTTAGCCATCTTGATTTACATTGATCGTAACGCAACAACAAACAAGATATGGATGAATCCATTGAGCAAAATAGGGGGGATGGGTGGCGAAAAGTTGAAACACCCTAAATATTGGCAGTAAATAAAACATTTATGGTTTAGTTTAACGTCAAAAATGATATTTATTACAGAAAATGACAGTGTGGGTCAATTTAATCATACACAAGACATAATGCTTTCATTTTACGGGATGGTCCTACCCTTCTTCCCCAAATACTAATCGGGTCTACCCATAATGAGAGTCACCCAGTTATCGTGTACTTTTATTTAAAGTACGGTAAGATTGCGTAATATCGGTTGTGCTATAATTGATGTCATTTGTTTTATCATAATAAATAATCTGTATCTGTATCTGTGGATATACAAATGAAATGAAATGAAATGGGGTTTAACGTCCTACTGTTCTGCTCCTAACCTGGGCTAATGAAGACGGGCATACGCCATAGTGTGCTATGAGGGAAATTTTGCCCGGGCAGCGGCACTACGGCCTACTCTTATATCGAATTCCAACTGCCAAGGGATCTTTTACGTGCACGCCAATGTGTACACGGGACCTCGGTTTTTCGTCCCATCCGAACGACTAGACAGCTTTCCTTGTCAGCCCCTCCATCCTGCATCACTGACAAGGGAGAACCACGCCGGAAAATCTGGATGAACTTTCTCGGCCAATGCAGGGATCGAAAACCCGATATACAGCGCAGGGTCCTGCTGGATATATAGTGCGCCGGGAAAGAGTGCAGCTCTAGGCTCTGAAGTGTGAGAGTTTCTTTGAAGCTCTCAGCGGTGCGCAGTTATGGTGGCTGATTGATATCATGTCGTAATGTCGTGATGTCGCCTTTCATAACGCGACAACCCGACATCACGACATTTCTACCCGACAACACGACAACCCGACATCGCGACATTTCTACCCGACATCACGACATTTTTACCCGACATTACGACACTAAAAATGCCGTGATGTCGGGTAAAAATGTCGTGATGTCGGGTAAAAATGTCGGGTTGTCGTGATGTCGGGTTGTGTTGTCAGGTTGCCGACTTTCATGATCAATGTTATAAGCGGCCACGATGATATTCATAACAACAAGCGGTTGCCATGCAAGATACGCCCACATTTTGCAAGAGATGGACAGAGAACAAGCTCAAAAAAAGAAGTGATTTTTTCGTACAATCAAGGGCCATAATTCAAGAAGTTATGATCCAATATGTGCGAATATCGAAAGGAACCAAGATCTTTGGGTTATAAATATGTATTTCAAGTTTCATCAAAATCGGATCAAAATTGTGACCTCAATAGGGTCCGCAACCTTGATATACCATATTTTTACGCTATTTGAGAACGAACGGCGGCCATTTTGTCTGTCAATTTTGGGCCAATTTTCACGAAATTCGAACTCCGTCGTCCTTAGGGTGTAACGGCGACATAATAATACGTTTTTTTAAATCTGATAAAAATTATGACCTATATAGGGTCCACAAGCTAAAAACGCGATTTTTCGTACAATCAGGGACCATAATTCAGGAAGTTATGGTCCGATATGCGCGAATATCGAAAGGAACCGAGATCTTTGGGTTATGAAATTACATTTCAAGTTTCAACAAAATCGGATAAAAATTGTGACCTCTGTAGGGTCCACAACCTTGATATACCATATTTTTACGCTATTTGAGAACAAACGGCGGGCATTTTGCCTGTCAATTTTGGGACGATTTTCATGAAATTCGACCTCAGCTGTTTTTAGGGTGTAACGGTGATATAATAATGTTTTTTTTAAATCGGATAAAAATTATGACCTCTATAGGGTCCACAAGCTAAAAACGCGATTTTTCGTACAATCATGGGCCATAATTCAGGAAGTTACGGTACGATATGCGCGAATATCGAAAGGAACCGAGATCTTTGGGTTATAAACTTACATTAAAATCGAACAAAAATTGTGACCTCTATAGGGTCCACAACCTTGATATACCATATTCTTACGCTATTTGAGAACGAACGGCAGCCATTTTGTCTGTCAATTTTGGGCCGATTTTCAAAAAATTCGAACTCAGTCGACCCTAGGATGTAACGGTGATATAATAATACGTTTTTTTTATATCGGATAAAAATTATGACCTCTATAGGGTCCACAAGCTAAAAACGCGATTTTTCGTACAATCAGGGGCCATAATTCAGGAAGTTACGGCCGATATGCGCGAATATCGAAAGGATCCAAGATCTGTGGGTTATAAACTTACATTTCAAGTTTCAACAAAATCGGATAAAAATTGTGACCTCTTTAGGGTCCACAACCTTGATATACCATATTGTTACGCTAATTGAGAACGAACAGCGGCCATTTTGTCTGTCAATTTTGGGCCGATTTTCACGAAATTCGAACTCAGTCGTCCTTAGGGTGTAACGGTGATATAGTAGTAAGTTTTTTTAAATCGGATAAAAATTATGATCTCTATCGGGTCCACAAGCTAAAAACGCAATTTTTCATACAATCAGGGACCATAATTCAGGAAGTTACGGTCCGATATGCGCGAATATCGAAAGGAACCAAGATCTTTGGGTTATAAACTTATATTTCAAGTTTCAACAAAATCGGATAAAAATTGTGACCTCTATAGGGTCCACAACCTTGATATACCATATTTTTACGCTATTTGAGAACGAACAGCGGCCATTTTGTCTGTCAATTTTGGGCCGATTTTCACGAAGTTCGAACTCAGTCGTCCTTACGGTGTAACGGTGATATAATAATACGGGTTTTTAAATCGGGTAAAAATTATGACTTCTACAGGGTACACAAGCTAAAAACCCGATTTTTCGTACAATCAGGGGCCATAATTCAGGAAGTTACAGGGCGATATGCGCGAATATCGAAAGGAGCCGAGATCTTTGGGTTATAAACTTACATTTCAAGTTTCAACAAAATCGGATAAAAAGTGTGACCTCTATAGGGTCAACAACCTTAATATACCATATTTTTACGCTATTTGAGAACGAACGGCGGCCATTTTGTCTGTCAATTTTGGGCCGATTTTCACGAAATTCGAACTCAGGCGTCCTTAGGGTGTGACGGTGATATAATAATACGGTTTTTTTTAAATCGGATAAAAATTATGACTTCTATAGGGTCCACAAGCTAAAAACGTGATTTTTTGTACAAACAGGGGCCATAATTCAGGAAGTTACAGTCCGATGTGCGCGAATATCGAAAGGAACTGAGATCTTTGGGTTATAAACTTACATTTCAACAAAATCGGATAAAAATTGTGACCTCTATAGGGTCCACAAGCTAAAAACGTGATTTTTCGTACAAACAGGGGCCATAATCCATGAAGTTTCGATCCGATACATGCCAATATCGAAAGCAGCCGAGATTTTTTGGGATAAAGCTATATTTCAAGTTTCGTCAAAATCGGACAAGAATTGTGACCTGTAGAGAGTCCACAAACAAATTGTGGACGGACGGACGGACGTCCGGACGGACAGGGGCGACGACAATATACGTCCACATGAAAATGTGGGCGTATAAAAAACTGGCAATTAAGAAAACGGTTGATCAAGTAGAAGTAGATTCACACTCACAGTGCAGTTGGAGTTGCATTCGTATCCATTTGTATACGTCCCCATTCATAATGTGAACCGTCTTCATTAGCTCAGTCGGAGCAGAACAGTAGGACGTTAAACTCCATTTCATTTCATAATGTGAACATATTATGAAGCCGCCCTTGTCTGTGTGTCTGTCATTGAGTCAAGTGGTGTGGTTTCCAGCCCAAGCTTGTCCATGACAAAGAGTTGGTGTCGAGTGGACGTTAAACCTCAATTCTCTCTCTCTCTCTCTTTTTCTCTCATTGGCCGAGAAAGTTCATCCCGATTTTCCGACATGGTTTCCCCTTGTCAGTGATGCAGGAAGGAGGGCCTGACAAGGACAGCTGTCTAGTCCTTCGGATGAGACGAAAAACCGAGGTCCCGTGTAAACATTGGAATGCACGTAAAAGATCCCTTGGCAGTTGGAATTCGATATAAGAGTAGGCGATAGTGCCGCTGCCGGGCAAAATTTCCCTCACAGCACACTGTATGGCGTATGCCCGTCTTCATTAGCCCAGTATAGGAGCAGAACAGTAGGACGTTAAACCCCATTTCATTTAATTTCTCTCTCATGATCAAACTCAGAATTATCTAGAATCAAGGTTATAATATTGTGTCCCAAAACATCGACCAATCAAATTGCTTATCTCTGCTTAGCCTTAGGAAAATCATAAATAAACAACAAGATTATGAACATGTTAACGATTATATACCGAGTCAGTTAAAAGCCTGATTAAATAAATGTGTTTTAAGTTGTTTTTTAAACGAATATAGAGATGTACAACATGGTCAAGATATAACGCGACAACCCGACATCACGACAACCCGACACCACGACATTTTTACTCCACATCACGACATTTTTACCCGACATTACGACATTTTTAGTGTCGTAATGTCGGGTAAAAATGTCGTGAAAGGCGACATCACGACATTACGACATGATACCAATCAGCCACCATAGCCGGTGGTGCAATGCGTTGATGTGTCTTGTAGGTGGTTCCAAAACGAGTTTCGAAAGAGTGATGTTTTAGTCGTTTGAATTTTAAAGCATTTGGAATTGTTAAATGAGAACTTCTCCGCAGGGTTTTGATGGTCAAAGTCACTGAAATCTCGAGTCTTCCTGCGTTTATAATTCCAATTGGTGTAATAAATTTCTGAGAGGGCAATGATGGTATTTCCCCCTCGACCACTTTATAGAAATATCACAAGACGTAGCATGCGTCGGCATTCTGTGAGGGGTAATCTAAATGATTGTTCTGTTTATAATCCGATTGAATACAAGCCAGGAGATTATATAGTCAGCGTTGTTATTTTTATTTCATTTTCTAAATTATAATGTTCAATAATCATTATTATAATTAATTATTTTAGGTATTGAAGTAAAATTATATACAATAATTTCAATATTAATCATCTTTAGATGTTACCCCCCCCCCCCCCAAAAAAAAAAACCCACAAATAAATATGGACAGTAAATTAAACTGTATACATTGCAGTCATGAAAGAAATTGAGCTTTTAGTGTAGATAAGAAATATTATTCAATTATGAATCAGCAACAAGACTTGTGACAATAAGTATAATAAGATAAGAAATACTATCATCTTTAGATGTAACATCATTAGATAAAACAAAATGCGTCATACAGGAAAAACAAATAAATACAGACAGTAAATGAATCGATATACAGTTACGAGAGAGAGAGAGAGAGAGAGAGATGGGATTTAACGTCCACTCCACACAAACTAGGTCATTTCGGGACTAACATATGGTTCAATTTTATTTCCGTAAATCGCTTGCGCGTTGGGGTCTTTAGCAGTGGGAGGAAACCGGAGGACCCGGAGAAAACCCACAAAGTTGGACAGGCGAATCACGAAAGAAATGAAACTTTAAGTGTAGATAAGAAATATTACTTAAAGGAGCTAAATCGCTAACATTTGGGACCTAGAAATTGACAAAAGTGGGTCGCAACGCATATAATACTGTAATATGAATGTATAAAAACTGATTTACATTCAATGGTTTCCGTTTTACTCCGGGGGGGGGGGGGGGGGGGGGGGTGGAGGGCTGAATGGTTAGCGTGCGCGTGCTGTATCATAAAGTCTGTCATTGAGTCGACTGACGTGGTTTCGAATCCCCAGTTGTACTTGGCAAGGAGTAGGGTCGCCTGTCCAACCTCGTGGGTTTTCTCCGGGGCCTCCGGTTTCCTCCCACTGCTAAAGACCCCTACGCGCAAGCGAATTATGTAAATAAAATTGAAAACCATATGTTAGTCCCGAAATGACCTAGTTTGTGTCGAGTGGACATTAAACCCCATTTCTCTCTCTCTCTTCGTTTTACTCCAATTTCAAATCAGTTATGTTCGGCGAAATAAGCCAGCAGTCTCAAGCGAGTGCAAATTTCTAGCGTCTGGTTATTCCAGTCTATATGCGCCGTTTGATTTGGTGCAATGTGTCTAGCCTCTTCCCTCGAGTCTCTTGATACAACTGGGGCTGAAGCGCATTATGGTACACGATTCGTACAATGGTAAAATGTTTATTTTGTCTTAAATATTGAATATCAAAAGCCTATCTTTTTCCGGTAAGATCACAACATGAATGTTGATCTAATTTGACAAATAAATCGTGTTTTCAATGTTAAAGATTTTGGATGATATTGAGTTAGAGACTTATCTACTTTTTAATTATCAGTGGACATTTCATTATGTTACTGAAGCAACGACTGTGTGAGTTTTACAACATCTAGATGTTGCTACGTTATCTCCCTTTAACGCAGACACGTGAACGTACATGTAAGCAACAACTTAGAGGTTGTGACACAAACACATTCAAATCAAACATGGCGACCTCCACGGAAACATTGACATCACTAAATTTTAATCCGACATCACGACATTTTAATACGACATTACAAAATTTTTAATGTCGTGGTGTCGAGTGAAAAGGTCATATTGTCGGGTGAAAATGTCGTGATGTCTGGTTAAATTGTGATGTCGGGTTGTCGCCTTACAAAGGATGACATCAAGACATCACGACATGATACTAATCAGCCACCATAAAAAAAAGTATATATTTTCATAGAAAAACTATAGGATTAATAAAATAACTCACTATAAAATGTTAAATTTGAAAATGTGAACTCACTATGTACAGACTTGAGATAAGTTTAGAGAGAGAGAGAGAGAGAGAGAAAAATGGGGTTTAACGTCGACCACTCGACAAAAACTAAGTCATTTCGGGAATAACACATGGTTCAATTTTACTTTCACAATTCGCTTGCGCGTAGGGGTCTTTAGCAGTGGGAGGACCCACGAGGTTGGAGCAATCAAGCTGAGTCAGTTACGAAATGTCGAGACTTTAGATTTTCTAAACTCGAAATAGCGGCACATTTTCAAAAGATCCACATTCGAAATATACGATACCAACAAAAAGTCCCCTATATATTGAAAGTCCGTTGGGACAGTTTTTGAAATACAGTACATGTATAAGACTTTTCATCTGTATGAAGAAATCTGGTTTTAACGTAATAGGATTAAAAATGTCGTAATGTCGAATAAAAAAGATCTCGGTTCCTTTCGATAATCGTGCATATCGGAACTTAACTTCCAGGATTTTAACCCCTGATTGTTCGAAAAATCATATTTTTAGATTGTGAACCTGCTAGATATATTCGTTAATAAAATTTGTTAATTGGGGGAAAGACTTTCGAAGAAATACATGTAAAAATTCGAATTCCATGCGGTAACATGTTTGTAGTGCCTGTATAACCATGTCAATATAAATACAAGTTCAATGTTAGTGGTTGGAATAGCAAGCCTTGAAGAATGTAATTCCAGGAGTTAAACGTACCAATTTACTAGGAACGGCTCGGCATCGATCAGAGATCGTTCCTAAAGGAATTAGCAATCTTTGGGATATCCTGTGAATCTGAAGCTGTCCCTTTAAATAACATTGATGGGGTCAAAATTACATGTACCATGAAAGATTTAAGAACTACAGCTGCTTCCCTGGCACCAACACTGGGAAACTAGACTACTGGTAAGTTTGTATCTATGTCCCCTTGATAATCAAACACTTCCCCTCAGTTTTAGTAATTTCTGTTCTATAACAGGTTGACAAAATATGGTAAACTCATACAATATTAGGTTTGCAGTGGTTGAAGGTCTAACTGGAGGATTCGAAAGTTTTGGGATAAATTTAAAATCCAGTTTCTGTGCATTAAAAACATTGAGCACATGTTTTAATGACAGATTACATGTAGATATCAAACTAACATTTGCATTCAATTTTGGCCAAGTTCGATGAAAATTTGATGTTGCTGGCAGTAATAAAGTGGAACATAAATGGTTCCCATCACAAAACGTGATCTTTCATGACACATTTCACAACATCTGATCTTTAATCACATCAAGTTCATATAATGTGGATGGCCTGCCCCACCTAAAACATTGAAATAGGAGGTCTTATCACCCAAAACAGCAAGTCCTTTATTATATAAACCTTAACCATCATGTTTCTGAAGCATTGGCAACGACTGAGTTTTACAACATCTAGACGCTGCTACACTGGTCTAGCTACATTATCTCCCTTTAATGCAGACACTTGAATGTAAGCATCCAATCAGAGGCTGTGACACAAACACACTCAAATCAAACATGGCAACCTCCATGGAAACATTGACAGAACCTTGAACTTTGCAACTCGATTATCGCAGACATTTTAGCTGGAAAGGAGAAGACTTAGTATTAGCGATGATCGAGGAATCTGATAGGCTCCCCAGCTAGGTCAGTAGCCAATCGAAATTAGTGCCGAAATATGCAGGGTATTACGTGAAGGGCTTAAGATGTACGGAGTTAAAGCGAGATCAAGCCTTTTATTGAAGATGGGTTTCCATAAGCTAACCCCTCCTTAAATATTCAAACCAAGAACAATTTTATGGAGGATCCATCTATTAATATGAAAAACTGATAAAACAAAAACAAAAAAGTCCCAAACGCTCAGAGATTTATTGTAAACAAGAAAATCTGACAGAATTTGTCCCTCATTAAAGATTATTAACGATTTTCAAATTGAAACCATAAAACCATTTCACACATTTATTTCAATAAGACTAGAAGCTTTTTACAAATATGTGAATTAAAATTTTATTTCAAAGTGCTTTAGGTCTCTGTGGCAGACACATATTATACATGGCTGTCTGATCCCAGAATTCAGGTCCTTTCCATCCACACCATCCCTTATCAATAATTTCTCTGATGTTTTCACCACCGGTAAAATGAGGATCTAAGATCAAAAACCTAAGAGCTCCAGTTACTTCACTAAAATTAACACCGAGAATTGTATGAGCCAACACACCACCACCTATCATGATTGGAGTTCCTTGGGTGGAAAAATGATTAGCTAGTTCTCTCCCTTTGTTTGCAAGTTCTGCTCCTGTACTGACACTCAGAATTTTGGATGTGACTCCAATCAGATGCTCTAAACAATAACTGACTTCTAATGATCCTATCCACTTCTTGCTTTCCACAAACTTGACATCTTTGTCCCCAATATCAACTAAAGCCTGTTGTATTTCTCTATGACTAGGCACAGATTTTTGTGTATAACCATGAAAAATAAACCATGAAACTAGGGTCTGCAATGATCGGTAAGCACATCCCCATTTATTGTCGTCAAATTTATCCTGCATGTAGTGATGATATGTGTAATTTCCTTCCACCAAGTAAAATTTAGAGTCTTTTAATGGATTGTTATTAACAATTGCTGTATGGGGATTTAAAATATAACCACCATTAATTTCTTCTCCATAAAAGATATATCTATTTGATCTTCGGAGCATCGGACAATCCAATGGGAGACCAAAAATATCATGGAGTTGTCTTCTCTTTACTTGTAAAAAATCCTCAGTTAACTCTTTAGGATAGATTACAGAGAGAAAGAAATTGGTGCCTTTAGGCTGAAAATGGAAAACTTCTGGTTGATAAAATTTGTCCCCTTGTTGGTATTCTTGTAAACATGTTTTCATGTACTCTAACTGTGAACATATGCTCTTACAGAGTATAGGATAGACATCTTTTATAGGTTGTTCCATAGGAATCAAACATAAAACATCAATCTGTAGGTTCAAAGTCAGACATTTTTCTTCTCCTATTCTGTGATGGATGAATGGGGCACAGGTTGGAGTACTATTATTACATGCCAATCTTTGATACACTGCCATTGGTAATGTTTCATGTTGGTGTGATCTTTGACCTTTTCCAGTCTTCAAGTATTCATTTAATGTTGAGACAGTTGCATTTTTCTTTAATCCAATGATATCATCGCGGGAAATGAGAACTGTCCCGTCATCTATACTGAATACAAAACTGCCACTTTCTAAAATGTCGTCACAAAGTTTTTCATACTCGCAATTGAGAATTGACTTAGTTATTTTACCATTTCTTGAAAGAATGTTAAGATTTATTTCTGTCTGTATGCGGGTTATAATTGAAGATGAAAATATGTTAGTTTCTTCTACAATTACTTCTGCTTGACTAGGTTCTGCATCATCTGTTGGTAACAGCCAATAAAAACTTTTGTCTGTAATCTTATCCTTGTCATTAAGAAAACAGACTATTAAATCATCGTCTGTATCAAGACCATCTAACGATCTTAACTGATTCCAGATCTTTTGATTTGGCTCTTCAGTTTTACCTTGAACGACCAATCCGCAAATTTTCACCGATCCGACTAAATTGTTTTCAACATATGCCTGATAATTTTCAACGTTAGTATTCTCTAAAACCCTAGCTAGTCCAATTATTTTGATGGCAGATTCCGTTCGTTGGCCTATTAAAAAACCTTGCAATAAACTAGAAGTCCATGTTGATGAGTTCAGAGTTTGAAGTAATTTAACGTCAACCTTCGTTTCTGTTGCCATTTTGTCATGACATGAAAACTTCACACGAAATGGATTGTGGGACGTTAGAATCTGTTGACAGTCTAACTCCGCTCCGTAGAATCTGTACTTCCGATGTAAATGTACACATTGATTGATGACGTTTTATGAACTGCTTGTCAGTACCAAAACGAATTTTGTAAGTTTTCTGAATAAAATGGGGTTTGTAGATCAAATTAAACAAATTATATTATTTCTTAATGCTTGTGAATGCAGATAAAACAATGCGTTCTCTGTTAACTATATATAAATCCTATTCAATAAACAAAACACAAGAAAATGTTATAAATAAATGACATGCCTGACCTGAAATGAACTGTTCAAAGCAATCTGTTTCGTTTCACAGAACACAGTTGTTTGCTAAGCCTAAGTTAGGCCTATAATAACTAACTAGTATTAGATGACCGTCCTTGAGTTCAAGTGAAGTCACATTATGCGGCATGGATCATTGGCTTGGTGGCACATGCATTGTTTATATAAGACGTTCGTAAACTGCCATAATAACTGGTCAAGGCAGAATCTTTCCTTTTAGTTTTACTTTTTACTCATTTTATATACCCATTTACACTCAATTCAAATAGGAAATATTTTTTATCTAGATATACTTCAAACACTTTTATTTATTTTTCTATTAATTCAAATTTTTTTTCTATAATTTGATTTGCAGAAGGAAATAAGTTAATATTGCGAGGTAATTAACTTGCACCGATTCATCCCTCTCAGTGATTAAACTAAAACAACTGGATTAGGATGGGGATATATATCATATTCCTGAAGCAATGGCCCGAGAAATCCCTCTCTAGCCTTTGCTGTATTGAGACTGAAAACTTGAGTCTTTGGCGGAACATGTCCATTCTCATCGTCCAATCAAATCTCTCCTGAGTAAAATATAGGGAATTTTCATGACTTAACCGAGGTGACCTCTTTAAAAATAAAATCCTAGTGTTTGTTAGAGCTGATTTCAAGAAAAATGTTACTCTTGAATTCATCGGGAGCAAACATCACTACTCGCATAGGTAAATTTGGCCGTCGTTGAAACTCGCTATTGGAACGAAAATTCTTTGACTCAAACCTCTGATATAAATTCTATTAATGTGTATCAATTATTACTGCCTACTTAATATATTCGATAATATTTATCCATTTTTGTGAAGAAAATCCATGAATTATTTATTTTATCAAAAAAGCCCACGTCGTATTACTATTCAGTTTGTTGAAACACAATACTTAACATGACATCCCTTCTCTTTTTCTCTTTGATCTGCTGTGTGGTCCAAGAGACGATAAAAAGATTCCACGAGCAAGGTGATTACCAAATGTTTACATTGTAGCTATTTTGGATAGCCTTGTTTATAACACAATTAGTGACTCTGCAATGTATATGTACTAGTTAATTGATCGTAATACATTTCGCGCGTTCTGACGTAATGTAGCCATGTTTGTCACCAGATACTTTACGGTAACATATTTAGAGCTCTGGTTGATCCCAATTGATTCTGTTGCATCGTTATGTACTGGTTGTTGATGGGACTGTTAACCAGTCATAATTTGGCAGTATGGTAGTGTTTGAGAGGGATTAGCATTAATCAAACGAAACACTGTGAGGAGTATGGGAATATATATACATGTACAATACATGTATATAATTAAAAGGGGAGTGCTCGATAATCATTCTAACTTGACGGAATTGTAATATACAGTGACACAGAATTAAGTCCTGTCACAGTTTTGTCATTCAAAACAGTAGGGGGATACCTGGTGGTTTCAGGCTACAATGCATGCACCGACTACATAAGATTATTACTCAACCAAACATGACAGCTGAAACATATTCTTTGTGTAGAGTTATGTCACAGTTCTACTTTAGACTGAAAGAACTGTGACAGGACAGAATTCACAGCGTCACTCGACTGCGATTTGTAATATTTTAGACTGACAATTGAGCATCCGCCAGACGTGGTGTGAGTCGAATCTATATTACAGTATATTGACATTAATCAGAAATAATTGCATTTATTTTCTTAGTTGAAATAGTAATATCTGTTTAAATGAAGTTTCAATATAAATCATTTTTATATTTTTTATTTCATATGGATTTGACTTCTCTGCTGATATTAAATAGACATATTTCTTTTAATAGGGTGAATAATGATAGTGATTTAAAATTACATGTACATGTACACTGTATGCAGAGAAAATGATAAAAAGGAAAAATAACACATGAATTGGCCCCCCCCCCCTTTAGCACTGGCACATGCGACCTTAGAAAAGTAACTATGTTTTAGTCTAAAAAAAATATGTTTTGAATAGATCTTAAACACTATTCCTTTCCATTTTATCTTGCTTTTAATTTGAAAATATGTTTAATATATTTTACAGCAAATTGTAGGACAACTAAGATTATTTCTTTTCTTAAAGAGTATTAAATATTTTCTAAAAATGGATAAACTTGACAATATAGAGAAGAAAAAAGTCATGGAAATGATGAAAACCAATCAGTAAGTAGCCTATCATAGTTTAAACTGGTGGGTGTAAGACCCCAAAAGATTATTTTTTGTTTTTATTTGCATTCAAATTCATTATAACTTCACAATCTGATTGGTCATGGTACGTTCATCAGATGAAGAAGTTTATTGATTTTCAATGGTTTCTTTAATTACGTACAAATGAATGAATATGTACAACAACCTTTGTGGACTGCGCAGACAACTTAGCTGCTGTGGATCTATTTTGGGTTGTTTGGCAACTTTTCTTTTCTAATTTTGATCTGTTTGAATTGTTTCTGATCATTTCACATTTTTAGTTTGTCAAAATAGGTAGTTTTGTGGGTGCAATATCAGTTTACATAACTTAGGTATCTCTGATGGCTAATACCAGTATGACTATTAGGTGATCTCCAAACAAAGCTTAATGGGGTTCAGAATTTTATTTTTTTCAAACATACTATGAAAAGAGATTAGCTGAAACTCATCTGAACATTATTTGAAGTAAATGGATCTTTAACATGAAAAGATAGTATTTTGAATCAATCAAAATAATTTTTCAACAGGACAGGGGCAATAACTCTAGATTGGATGTATCGTGAAGAGAAGCCAGAGGAAGAAGATTATTTATTAGGGAAAGAGGTTGATAAACATATAGAAGGAGAAACAGTTAGTTTTGAAGGTTAGATCGATAATTGTGTTTTTATCAGATACCTTATTAAAATCACGGTCTGTGACGAAAAGTAGAAAGTTAAAACTTCATTTCATTTTAAGGTGGGGGGGGGGGGTGTTGAGAGGCTGAATAGTTTAACATGCGCACATTAGATCATAACATCTGTCATTGCATCAAGCTGCGTGGTTTTGATTCCCTGCTTGTATGTGACAAGAGTAAGGTCACCTGTCACCAGGTCATCCGTTTTCCATCCACAGCTAAAGACTCCAAGTGCAAGTGAATTATTGATATAAAATTATACCATATATTAGTCCCAAAATGACCTAGGTTGTGTCTAGTGTACGTTAAGCCCCACTTCTCTCTCTCTCTCATTTCATTTCCTTATGAAAATCAAAATAATAAAGAAGATTTGTTAAATGATCATTTATGTGTTTTAAAAAGAATCTGTCAACAGACACTAGAACAGGATGATCCTTTGCTACATCGTCTTTTTATTCACACTGGGTTTTTTTTCTTCAGAGGAATTTGATGCCAAGTTTGGTGAGAGAATAAAAGCAAATATTGCTCTTGATATGCAGACAAAAATGAGGGAAGATCCACTTTTTATTATCAAGTGAGTTTTGTAATAATGTATGCTTTATTTAAATCACATAATTGCAAGGCTCTGGATTTAGAAAAGAATCTATTTTTGTAAGTAGTGTTTATCACATGACTTGGTTGAGGGAGAATCTATTTTCAGCTGTCATATTGATCATAAATATCGAAGCCAAAGTAAATTCAAAGAGTCAGGATGACTTTTAGGGACATCCTTACATTTTTGTTTTGTGAGTGTTTTTTTTAGGGAATCCAGGATTTTTCTAGTAAGATTGGGTGTCCCTACTTTCCATATACAAAAATTGCCAAACTTTTATGGGAAGTAACTTTCCTATAAATATTTCTGTAGGAATGTATCTTTAATCAAATTTTGCTTATTTTTATTTTATTGCATATTTTATTACTTTTAGACAGAAAGAATTGGAGGCCAGAAAGAAGATTGTTGAGAATCCTATCAAAATGAAACGACTTCAGGCAATGGTAGGTCATGTTTATAATATGTTTATTGGACTTTATCAGATAATGTCTACCAAATTGTTCAGGAGAGCCAAAAACATATACCAGGGGTTAATTATAATGTTTAAAATGTCATATGTACCCGTTCAAGCAACATGTTACTTAGACTAAAAATCTTGGGTTGAAAATCTGAGTTAAAGTTGATACTGTATAGTTTTACACTGTAAAAATATATTCTGGAATTCAACTTTAACTGCTCGAATTTCATAGATATGATTTAGTATTGACATATTGAGGGTGCTCGATTGTCAGTCCGGAACGTCCCGAATTGACAGAATTGCAATCAAGTGATACGGAATTCAGTCCTGTCACATTTCTGCCAGTCCCGACAGCTGAGGTGGTGTGAGTAGAATCATGACATATTTTAAGTAACATATATGTTACAGCTGCCATGATTGGTTGAGATATTTTTTATGCAGTCGGGACATGCATTAAAACTCTGAAATTTTCCTTTTCACTCAATTGACACTATTTTTGGAATGGAGAGAATTTAATTCCGGAACATTCAATCGAGTATTCCCTTTTACTTTATAATGATGTTATCCCCCTTGAAGTCGCTTGTAAAGCTGGTAATTAATAAATAAGAATGGGTTGTATTCTAGACACTTAACTGTACATTACAAATAAAGATCATCAACTTCTTAAAGGGGATTTGTACAAAATATTAACCCTAGCTTACCTGACTTTGGGGGCACATTTAATATGTCTATAAGCTCTCTAAATCTGTCCGGTTTCCTCCCACTACTAAAGACCCCTATGCGCAAGCGAATTATTGAAATAAAATTAAACCATATGTTAGTCCCGAAATGACCTAGTTTGTGTCGAGTGGACGTTAAACCCCATTTCTCTCTCTCTCTCTCTCTAAATCTAGCTTCCTTTTAATTGGCACTCAATGTCATTCCTACTGGCTAGGGGTGATATTTTCTATCTTGGAGTTCAGGGTTATAAATTATACAGCATTGAGGTATGTATTTCAAATCTGACAGAAGAAAAATGAACAAAAGACTTGCATTTGAACCAATTCAGTTCTACTCATACTCACACTATATTTTTTTAAACTTACAGATTGAAAAACAAAAGAGAGAGCAAGAAAAAAAGAAGAAGAAAAAGAAAAAGAAGCACAAAAAAAGGGGGGACAGTGACAGCGAGGAAGATGATAAATTAGTGGCTCAGTATCTTTCTATTCTCAGTCAGAAAAATCAGCCAGCAGGAGGAAAGAGGGGTAGGGACAAGGATAGGATGAGGAGAGAGGATGAGGGTGGGAGGAAAAAGGGGAAAAAAAGCAAGCAAGAAACATCTGATGAGGAAGAACGTGTTGAAGTTAGGAAACGACGAAAAAGTGAAACAGATAGACTTCAGAAATCATTTAGTAATGAAAGACAGACTGATTATAGACATCGGAATACATCTAGTTATAAAAACGATAGAGTGAAAGATTTAGATAGGGATGATGAGGATAAACAGAGAGACAATAGGAGGGAGAGGCAGGATAATGGGGATAGAAGAAGAGACTTTGGGAGGCAAAATAGTGGGGACAGGCGGAGAGACTTTGGGGGCCATGATAATGAGGATAGACAGAGAGACTTTGGAAGAAATGGTAGTGGAGATAGGTCACGAAATTTAGGGGGAAGTGAAAACAGGGATAGATTGAGGTATGAAAACCAGGATAGACAGAGGGATTTAGGGAGAAATGAAAACAGGGATAGATGGAAGGAAGAAAGATATAGAGATGATCAATCAAGAAATAATAGCAGGGTCAGAATTTATGAACAGCAGAGAAGTAGAGTTAACAATGAAAAGAGAAGGAATAGATCCTCTAGTGATGAAAGACAGAATGAAGAACAGAGAAATAGGAGGAATGAAGAATATAGAAGAAGAAATAAAAGCGATCAGAGGGTGAGTCATCCTAGAAATGAAGAATTTTCCAGTTCCAGTGATGACAACATGTCAAATAAAACAGCAGATAGAAAGATGAATAAAGCAAATGATAGAAGAATGAATACTAAAAAAATAGATAAAATCGGAAAGAAAAATAGAAATAATTCTTCTAGTAAGGAGAGACAGAGAAGAAAACAGATCAATAAAAAGAGAACCCATTCCACAAGTTCTACAAGCTCATCAAGTAGTTCTAGTGATAGTGATGAACAAAGAACAAGTGCAATGAAAGAGAGAAAGATGACAAAAAGGAGGAATAAATCATCTAGTTCAGGATCACCTGATACAACTAATCAGCATGAGAAGGGAAGACATCATTCCAAAAGTGATGAAAGATTGAGTGACAAAATAAAGATTGAAAGAAGAGGGTCATATACAGAATCTTCATCCCCTGATGTGAAGAGAAGTCGGAGAGAGATGGGGGATGATGATGAAGACAGAAAACCAAAGCCATATGGTCTAATTGTAAGTATTATAACAAAATTTTACAGATTTTTTCTAATAAGTAGGAATGAAATTTAAGATCTTACTTTTGAGCACCAACCAGGCTAATGAAGACAGGCAGACATGTACAATATGCATTGAGCTACATGTATGAAGGAAATCTTGCCTGAACAAAACTTTTTGAGTAAGTAGGCAGACATGTACAATATGCATTGAGCTATGAAGGAAATCTTGCCTGAACAAAACCTTTTGACTTACTCTTCATCTTCAAGGCTTCTTAACATGCACGCTGATGAATACATAGAAGGACTGTTTTTGTCCTATCCAAACCACTGCAATGTAGATGCTTTTGTCTTGCCAAATTCTACACCCTGTTTCAAGGTCAAAGTGAAACCAGGATGGAGACTACCTGGGAACTTTCTCCCAAGGCCAACACCAGAATCTATCCTAGTAACCCCTATAATCAGAAAGTGACCTCTAATAAATATAGGGTCAGGGGAAGATTTGACCAGCTTTAGCTAAATGAGACACATATAGCAAGCTTCTAATTTCAGATATGGTACAAAATGTTTTTATTATGTATAGAATGAATAAAAATAAGCGAATGTACGGGCTATTTCTATTTTTCTCGTTTTCTCTTATCTTGTTACAGTCAATTATTATTTTGAATTGTCAGATATCCTGCCACTGTCTCATAAAACAATGTTTTGTCTTTGAAGGAATTATTAGTGAGCAGAAATTCGCCCGTGTATCTGTTATCACTCGTCACTTCAGTTAGTTATATAGAAGGATAACTCGTGTAAATTATATTTGGAACATGTTTAACCAGTTCTATTACATATGTGATAATGACTGACACCAATATTGTCCTTTAACTTTCAAACTTCACTTCAAAGTTAACCTTTTTGCAAGAAACAAACACATCCACACCTGAAAAGTCACAGGCCTCTAGTTTGGCATACTTCTGCCAGGATTCGAACCTGTGACTTTCAGTATTGAAGACGAGCACGCTATCCAGTCAAACAAAAGGGCATCCAAATGCCAATAGGGTATACACAATAATTAAACTGTCATCATTCACACACAACCTGTAACACATAGATTTATAGGATCTGGAAATACAATTATTATTAAATTGACAATTATACATTTAAAGATCTTTTTTAATTGTAAATAAAGTTTTTGTTGTTATCATATTTGTGTCTATTTTAAGCTTAGTGCAAATTCCACGAGGCATCAAGGCTCAACCAAGTCCCGATCTCCTGTAAAGCAGAGACAGCGATCAAAGTCTCCACCACCAAGAAATATCCGATCCCATAGATCAAGATCTCGAGAGAAGAACAGACAAAGAAATCGGTCTCCTAAAAGGTAAGAAGCATTAAGGAATTTTTTGGAAAAACTGTTCCTAATGGATATTCATAATAATGCATTTAATTGTAAAAACGAACATAATTGTTTGAGATTAGCTTATGATCTATGAGGAAATTTTCTCTAGCTTATGATCTATGAGGGAAATTTTCTCTAGCTTATGATCTATGAGGGAAATTTTCTCTAGCTTATGATCTATGAGGGAAATTTTCTCCAGACAGCGGCACTACATTGTAGTGACTACAGCACTATGGCATACTCTTATTTCAAAATCCAACCATCAAGGGTCCTTTTACGTGCATGCCAATGTGTACACGGAACCTCTTTTTTTTGTCCTATCCAAACAACTATGTCGTGGGAACCACCCAAAAAAATCCTGATGAACTTTCTAGGTCAACACAGGGATCAAACATGGGACCTCTAGGTTAGAAGCCAAGGTCTTACTCATTGAACCAATGTATATATATATATGGTAACCCTGTGACAGGGTCATATAAATAATACAATTAAAGTAATGGCAACCAGATGTTTGGTGAGAAACGTTATGAAATACCGAAAAATGTGAATGATTAAGCCGACAAGTTTAATTTTGATACATGAATTGTTAATTGTTATGGGAAAGAATAATGGTTTGAATAGGAATACATCGTGTCGTACATGTATACTTTCGGTTTCAGGTTTCTTTTGAAATTATTTGCAATGTTCCAAATTTGAGATGTTTTGATTAGAAAGTTGATTGTTTTCTTTGAAACAAATTTCACATAGCTATAAAAGTTGCGTGTCCTTGTGAATTGTAATAGGGAAATAACAGAAGAAGAAAGAGAAAGAAAATTACAAGAAATGATGGACAATGCTAAATGGAGAGATGATCAAAGACGTACAAATGTTAAACGTTATAATGATGAAAGCAAGAGAGAGGAGGAAGAGATGATGAAAGGACACAAAACAAGTTTCTTAAAGTAATTTTATAATTTTATTTTATATTTATAAATTAAAGACATATTCAGTTCTTATGCCATTGACTGTGAGCATAATGGTTTGTGAACTAGAATGCTGGTTTGCATCATGGCATTGTCTAAGAAAATCTTTCAGAACTTATTAAAGGCTCAATACCACTCTTGTTGTAACTGAATAATATGTCCCAATCTTTATTCTGGTCAACAAATTGCACTATTTTACAATATTCCAGTTAATTGATGATACAAATTTCATCTTAACACACCTAATTTAAAAAATTGGAAAAATTCAACTAAATGATTTGAAAAGCCTGACGTAAAGCTTTTCAAATGTGACTTGGATTTAAAAATATTTTTGAACCCTCTGGACAAGTAAAATTGGATTTAATGGATAATTTACACAACAGGTAGGACACTAACACATCTAGTACTTAGAATAAGGCTATTTTTTATTTTCTGGAGCTGTCAAGCCAGCAAGAGTGTTATTGTCCCTTTAAAGTTATGAGCAAAGACTGGTTATTTTGAGACAAACATATGGTAATTGTTATTTCTATGGTATTGTGTGCAATGCAAGCTAGGACAATTTACCTGGAGATTGACTTTAATAAACCACGACTGGTATCTATCAACGGTTCTTTTATATGCATGCTGATATTTACCTGAATGGTCCTTGTTTTTTCGTACCTTCTAAATAACAAGACACATTTTACCTATCAGCCCTGCAGGCAGCACCGCTGTAAAATGATTCCAGAAAATTCTAGTCAAGTGTCTTGAATGTTTGAGATAGAATTGATTGAGCTACACCTGGGATGTCCATGCTGCCTTCCTTAACAAAACAGCTGGCAGGTGTATATTTGTTGCCGGACGGTGTCTTATCTTTGAACAGTAGGACAATAATTATTTTAAACTGGAATTGTTTTGGTTGGAATTTTTGGTAAAATTGAATACAACTCTGGCATAATTTCCGTTTTCCATAGTGACTTATCACTGAATGTGCCATGTTGCACTACTACTTCACAATAGTGTAATTGTTCTCCTACTACTTCACAATAGTGTCATTGTTCTACTACTGTACTTTATGAAAGTGTCATTGTTCTACTACTTAACAGTATGCTTGTATAAAACTTTGATTTTTTTTTTTAGTTCAATGATGTCTGACCATGCTGACCAGAGTTCGCTTGAGGATCGTATTAAAAGAAACAAATATAATATACAAAGAACACGAACTGCTTTAGATAAAAATTTTACTAAAAAATGAGAAATTGTAAATAGAGAATTGACAGTGTGCTATTAGCTGATGAAGTTTATATTAAATTAATTTTATAAGCAGATTGAGTATTATTGTGTCGATGTTGAATGATCTTACCACCACTCAATGGAAGATTGTTTTGAGATGTTCTTCATGCAGTGTTGTAATCAAGATGTTTCCCTGTGCATTATTAAACATGGAAACCAAGTCTGGAAATAAGGCACCTATCACAGACAATACAGGCTCAAATTCAGGCTTTGTCAGGCACAACCCTTGTTGTGTCTGTCATTTTGTCCAGTACAGTTTTGTGTTCTTATTTGATGTTTTTAACACATTGTAGAGAGTGTATTGTAAGTAAACATGGCTTTTTGGTTATACAAGACACATATGGTTTGATATAGTTTCATGTGATTCACAGTTGTTTATCAGACCTTTTTTTTTATCTAATATTTCTTTTTGGTCTCCTCAGACTGTGAGGTTTGAAGATCCATTCCCACAAAAGTATTTATCGGGTAGTTATTTCCAATAAAGGTATGGTAAATTTGATACATATGGAAAGCAGATACCCAACTTTACTATAAAAATACTGGATTCCCTGAAAAACACCCATGTAAGGGTATCCCAATTTGCATAGGGCGTGCAATTTAAATGTTTTGAGAGGGATCTATGAGATAAGTATTAAGGTAGGTTTCAACATTATGTCAACTGGGAACAACTATTGACATATACTCTCTTACAACAACTGGCTGTATCAAAGTTTGGCATGTTCACCTTCCAATACTGTTTATCAACTTGGTTTCTGCAACATACACAAACACTAGGTGTCATCCGATAAAGCCAATTATAATGCAAGATTTTGTCACCATCGGAAACTTTCATATATAGAATTGCACATGCTAATTCATCTTTATGTCCTAATCCCCATCCCTCAAGGATAACTTCCAATCAATCATTTTACAACCAAAGAGACCATTCTGATTAACAAATTTATTAAAATAATCATAAATTTTATAACGAGTTATAAATTTTTTTATCACAATATTTCAAAATATAATTAACATTATACAGTAAAACCTCCTTCATCAGTTCATTTTGGGTTACTGTAAGTTTATTTGCTCAAGTCTATTTTTATTGATCATATATAATTTAACTTCATTACATCTTGATCCATTATTGTCGTGCTCTTCTTTTCTTATTGTAAAGATGTTTTATAGCAGCCAACAGTCTTTTGATATTACTTGTTCACATGCCGGGATATTCAAAAACAGCAGCTGCTCCCATTCCTGTTCCTATACACATTGAAACAACACCGTATGACCTGGATAAAATAAACACAAAACATTCAGTTAAATAAGTCTTTGGGACTCTTTATATATTGGTAAAACAAAAACATTGAATTTTGAGGATACACAAAATGTTTCAGTAGATCAGTACTTGGATTTTCGATAACAGGCTTATTCGTGGGCACAAGGAATTATTTTGTCCGTGGCCTATCCAGAAATTATGAAAAATGGGCAACCAGTAACAATATTGAAAAATTTCTTATTTATAGATTTAAGATGAGGAGGAAGTGCATGGCCGGGTTATATAATTCCACCCAGCACACAATTCTGGATGGATGCCTGACGCAGCTGAGATGGCGACATCATTTCTTTACAATTAAACTAACACTACAAAGAAAACATTTTAGTCAAAAAAATCCTTTTCATTAAAATTACAACCACAACAGAGCACACTGGTACAGCAGAACTTGTATTAAGCAAGCACCCAAGGGAAATTTAAAAATGCTTGCTTAATGGGGGTGCTCTTTGACTAGAGGTATCTAATATTGCCCCAACCCCTACCACAAAAAATAAAGAAATAGATTGCATATATTTTTTTATTCATGTAGTACAACAATAACAATACATCTAGTTGTGAATTCAAAGTAGTCGCGTATACATGTTTGTTTAGTAATACTGGATCTCTGCCCCCCCCCCCCCCCCAATATTTCTTTTACTTTCATCATACTAAATCATAGCGTCTAAAAGCGTTTCAAAATGCCATGAATTTGAGTATTTCCCACCCCAACTATTTTAGCGATTACGCAACCACTTGTGAATTCAAAGTAGTCGCGTATACATGTTTGTTTAGTAATACTGGATCTCTGCCCCCCCCCCCCAATATTTCTTTTACTTTCATCATACTAAATCATAGCGTCTAAAAGCGTTTCAAAATGCCGTGAATTTGAGTATTACCCACCCCAACTATTTTAGCGATTACGCAACCACTTAAAAAAATCTCGGTGCTTTTTGTGCTGACATAAATTAATTACGCTTGGGTGCATTGGCAGCGAACATCAATACCTGCATCGATAAATTTGACCGTAGCTGAATCTTGCGCTGAACGAAAATTCTTTACTCAAATCTCGAACATAACTTCTGTAAACTTGTAATTTTGTAGCAACCTTCGATACTACTGTCTACCATTGTGATGCATTCGATAATATTTATCCATTTTTGAGAAGAAAATCGATGAATTAATTTTATTTTATCAAAAAAAGCACATGAACAAAAAACCATCGCTGATTTTATCACTGATTTACAGGGGATGTAACTCTGTATGTAATATTATAGGGGGCCCTAAAACGTCTGTTTAACAACAAAGTGGCAATGGAAAAGAGATACTAGATGATCGTGACAAAACTCGGTACTTTCATTTCATTCAATCGGTATCAAATAATGTGTCGTAACACGTGAAAACAATGATCAGGTTAGTTGTTTAATAAAACAAAAGATTAATAAACAGATAATCCCGGGTTGATTGTTATTTTTACATTTCTTTTTACCTGATCAGTGGGGGTCCAGTTAATTAACTACTATTCACAGGATTAGCGGGAGTTAAAAAGAAAGAACGACAAGATGGTATCATTCAACAATGGCCGTTGAATGGGCGATGTTTTGTTGAATTTATTAGTAAAATAGTGACCGCTGGCCGCGTTAGAGGAGTGACCGTTGAAACAGTATAATTTTTACGGGAGGGATTAATCGTGATGCCCGTTGCATGCGTTGAACAGGTGCGTGTTTAGTAGAGGTTAAATTACTTAAAAATTGCTTGGGGGGGATTTTTTGGTACTCGTTGAAGCAAGTGTTCGCTGATTAGGAGTGCACGCCGGAGCAAGTTCTACTGTATATTCAACATTGACTCATTACGTGTTACAATATACCCACAGACATAAATTATACCCTACCTTTTTTGTCGCCTCTTCAACTCGTGTAAAAGTGTAGCGATCTGTCTTGATCCTGTACAGCCGAGTGGATGACCTAATGCAATAGCTCCCCCTTTTGGGTTAACTTTTACAGGATCGATGCCTAATTTTTCAACACAATAAAGTGCCTGACTAGCAAAAGCTTCATTGATCTCAAAAATCTCAATATCATTCACTGACAGTCCTGTCAAATACAATTATTATTATTATTAAACTTTGGTAGACAACATACAAAAGTGCATCTCAACGTGGCACTGCGTTGACATTAATAAAAGTGTAATGTATTTATAGAGTACCAAAACATTAAACACTCTCATAAATTCAACACATATTTATATATTAAACATCCTATTAAACATGAATTAGATCTTAAGTTGGGTAAAAGTACTGTTTAATAATTTAGTAGTAAGGCCATAAAAAATATTACATTTTTTTAAATACTCCTGCGATAATTTAAAAAGAAGTGCATTACCCATTTTTATTTTAAAAAATTAAGTCTCATAAAGTACCGTATGTAAACATTTTCCCCTGCTTACATAAAGTAACTTGATAAATAAACATTTGAATGAAGCCGTAAATGGACTGTAGACTCAACTATCAAATACAACCCTGATAAATGTTACTGATAATCATAACTGTCTGAGGAGCAGAATAATTTTTGTATTCTTAAATTATTATTGGATTAAATATTATTAAAATGTTCAATTAAATGGCACAAAGTTCAGCTTAATGAATGCTTATATCAAGAATGTTTATTATCTAAGGTCCTTATTGGATTACATATGCCGAGGACAGAGGAAACAAGATCTATATTATAAAGTATAAACCCATAAAAGGCATGAGAATAAGAATTTATGAATACATTACGTTACCTGCTTTCTTTAATGCTACTGGAATGGCGACGGCAGGCCCGATGCCCATAATATCTGGGGGACAGCCACAGACCGCAAAAGATTTTAAAACACCCAGTACTGGCCAACCTCTCTTAGCAACTTCTGAACGTGTAGCCAGCAAAACAGCGGCCGCACCATCACTAACCTGACTGGAATTTCCTGAAAATTATGGAAGTATTAATGGATGCATAAAAAGATGGCGGGAAATATTATGCCATTTGGTTTTAGTCTTGCAAAACAAAGAATAATTTACTTTGTAAATCAAATATATTTATTTCTAGAATGGTCTATAGCTCACTTTTAAAAATATACAAAAAATATCCCACCTGCAGTAGTGCTTCCATTCTCTTGAAATGCTGGTCGTAATTTCCCCAGACCTTCTAAAGTTGTACCAGGTCTAATTCCATCATCTTTTGTTACCTTCAAATTTAAATTGGTATTAGAACATATGACTATAAAAAAATTATTATATTCCTACACCAGACATTGATAAACTATTTTGGTGTTGAGGACATTTACCCTACAAGTAATAATGATCCATGCTACTACTTATGAATACCAAACCAGAAAGAGAGAGAAATGGAGTTTAACATCCACTCAACACAAACTAGGTAATTTTGCGACTAACACATGGTTCAATTTTATTTCAATAATTCGATTGTGCGTAGGGGTCTTTAGAAGTGGGAGGAAATCGGAGGATCCGGAGAAAACCCATGAAGTTGGACAAGTGACCCTACTCCTTGTCACGTACAACCAGGGAATCAAAACCCTGCCAGTTGACTCAATGACAGACCTTACGATACAGTGTGTACATGCTAACCATTCGGCCATCCAACCCCCCGAATACCAAACCAATCTCAGTAAGACTGTTGATTCTATGGAACTTAAAATATCTGGGATTGTATCCCCAAACATTTTATTCTAATGATTCTCAGGCAAGGTTAAATACTGTATAAAGAACTCGAAAATGGACTACATACACACATACAGCAACATATTGAGATTTTCGAAATAAAACATCACTCACGGTAATAGTTTGTTCATTTCCAGCTTTATCCTTTATTGTAGTGGTTACTGGAACAATCTCTGCTTTAAATAGGCCATTTCTCTGAGCTTCATTTGCCCTGAAAGAAAATGTGTAACCCATCAAAAACAATAGGAATGTCTCTGTAATAAAAGAAATTAAATGGGTTTTAATGTCCTACTTTACAGCACCAACTGGGCTAATGAAGATGCACATACACCATGCAATGTGCTATGAGGACAATTTTGTCAGGACAACAGTCTGGACTAATCTTATACTTCAAAATTTTCATTTAATTACATCATCTTAGTAAATACTGAAGGGAGTTGAACCATTTGTGGACTGGTATTCCTTTTAGAGATTCAACTATCTCAATATTGTAGATTCAAAATACCTCAAATGACAAATACTGAATAGCAGCTTTAAGACATATAGTGCTCTCTAAAAGATTAAATCCCGAAGCTATGTAAATAATGACCAGTATTTTATTCAACTCCATTTCTTTGTAGCCTAATTGTGAAATAATGGTAGGAGATGGGGGGCTTTAGTCCATCTTATACTTCTGAAATCAACAAAATTTGTTCCTTGCAATGTCTCCTTTAAGATATATTCTTTCAAGCATAGTTAGGTCATGTTTTTATCTGAAAGTATGCAGTTTGTTGCAACAGAAATGAAATAAGTTAATTATCACAGATCGCCAACCACTGATCCGAAATTTGAAGATCAGTCAGAGATCATTCAGCAATTTTTCGTACAAGTATTTTCCACAAATCAATTAAGTATAAGGTTGTCAATGGAATACATCTTTCTACAATCACTTCTACTTACCTTCTCTGTGATTCAACACTAAATTGGTCTTGTTTTAATCTGGAAACACCAAATCTTTTTGCAACATTTTCTGATGTAATACTGAAAGACAGACAGGAATTGAACATTAAATTATATCTTCTTTGAGTGGCATTTAGTAATCGACACAAATAATAAACACAACAACATAAAATGGACCATAATTACTATTTTAATTAAAGTGGCATTTTGTTAAGGGTTTAATAAACGTTTTTAAGCAAATGATGATAAATATAATATACAGAGAACCCTCAAAGAAACGTTGTTTTCATTAAAATAGTAATTGTGTTCCATATTATGTTTATGTGTTTATTAAGTTATATGTGGTGTATACTCTTATAAAATATGGGAATTGGATGTCCGAATGGTTAGCACAGGCACGCTATATATTGCAAGGTTTGTCATAGAGTCAACTGGCGTGGTTTCGATTCCCCGGTTGTATGTGACAAGGAGTAGGGTCGCCTGTCTAACCTCGTGGGTTTTCTTTGGGTCCTCCGGTTTCTTCCCATTGCTAAAGATCTCTACACGCAAGTGAATTATAGAAATAAAATTGAACCATGTTGGTCCCAAAATGACCTAGTTTGTGTCGAGTGGACGTTAAACCTCATTTCTCTCTGAGTCTCTCTCTCTTTTATACAATAGAGATGCCCACAAATAATCACTGATGTGCCCTGGCCTTTGGCTACCCTTATTGCTAATCACTTGTTTTAAATATCATAGTCGATCTCAGCGCATAGCATTTAAGGTTGATAGATTATCTGCTACTTACCCCATGGGTATAAGACAGTCTCTTGCCTTTTCCACTTCAAAAACTCGAGGGTTGATATCTTTGGTATTATTATTCTGTAGGGTCATTGATTCAAATCTGTAACAATTCAATGAAAAACTACTTATACATTGATTGAGGATGCCTATGGAAAGAGACCGAGAAACTCATACATGTATACACACACAAATTAATTTACTTTAAAGGGTGCATAGCTCTATTCAATGGAACCTTAAAATACGCGAAATTTTCATAAAGCACATATTAATGTAATAGGAATGTATGTAAACTGAATTTTTAGAATAGTTATTAGTAATATAGCTTTACCGTTAATTTTTAAAGAAGTTATCAGTAATATAGTTATACTGGTAATCTATAATTATTTGATTTTCAAATATTTGACAAACTAAAACACATTTACCCTCCTGCTAAGCCAACATTGCAGACGCCATTACGAATACTTCCTGCAACAATAGCAACATAGTTATCAAATATGAATACATGTATAATCCATTGGTAAAAATAACCTACATAAGATAAGATAAGATTTTATTGCATCGAAACATCCATTTAGAACAGCATACAATATAAACGTGTACATAAAGATTATAACGATATGACAATTATTACACAAGACACACAATATTGCATCGGAACCTCCCTTGAGGACAACATACAATATACAAAATATACAGGTGCAAAAAAATGGACGGATACACAAATATGGACGGACATAAATTTAGAGCACTCATAAATAATGATTCTGTTTTGAAGGATGTAAATATCTTGGTGGTTCTTCAGTTTAATAATTTAGTCATATAGCACAATACCCTGGTGCACAACATTTGACAAAAACACTTATTTTTCAATCGTTATATGGCACACTTTGGTGCTTAAAGTTCAGGGTTTGTAATCCCTGTGAATTAATTGTACTCCAGTTTAGGCTTTGTGTAGAAACATAATAAGACAACTAAATAAACTGCCAATAGTGAATGTTACAATGGGAAAGAGATTTATACCAACAAACTTAATTCCAGATAGAGAGAGAGAGAGAAATGGGGTTAAATGTCCACTCGACACAAACTAAGTCATTTCGGGACTAACATATGGTTCAATTTTATTTACATAAATCTTTAGCAGTGGGAGGAAACCGGAGGACCTGGAGAAAACCCACGAGGTTGGACAGGCGACCCTACTCCTTGCCACGTACAACCGGCGATTCAAAACCATGCCAGTCGACTCAATGACAGACTTTATGATACAGCGCGCACGCTAACCATTCAGCCATCCAACCCCCCCAATTCCAGATAGAGTGAGAGAAAAATGAGGTCTAACATCTCCTTGAATCAAACTAGGTCGTTTTGGGACTAACATTGGACTTAATTTTATTCCAATAATTTGCTTGTGTGTAGGGGTATTTAGCAGTGGTAAGTAATAGGAGGGCCTGGAAACCCCTATCTTGGGATCGAAACCGCACCACTTGAATCAATGACAGATCTATGATCACAAGGTTAGACCAATCGATCACCCAACCACTCCTTAATTGGAGGACCTTACCTGCATCCCTGAAAACAACACGTGATTCAATGACCTGGTGAAAAAAAGAATATTCAACATACCTGCTACATTAAGGACAGCTTGAAGTCCTGAAGAACATTGTCTGTTGGTGGTGAAGATTGGGACGGTTTCTGGAATTCCACTAAAATAGAAAAAACGGTTACGCTTTAAGATATTGTCCAGGTGAGTCTCATACAGTATATAATTTTGCGTGAAAAGTATAGAAATGTATGGTATGGAATGGTATGTTCTAGAATAGCACTGAAATAATCATTTGATACCGCACCAAATACAAATAAATATGTGAAAAACTGGCTAAAAATTTTGTACAAACAATATTTCTCTACAGATTTACTTTTTTCAATTTTATGGTTCCGCTGTTAGGTTTCCTATAGCGCAGACACAAAAAAACTTTCTCTTCAGCAATAAAGGTGAGTATCTATTCAAACAGAAAAGGATGTGGGAATAGAGTCGAAAATAATTAACATTTGGAGATCACCACTTGTAGCCCTTATCATGCAATATAACACAGGCAGAATACTTAGTTATTTTGAGTATGACAGGAAATTTTTTTAAGTCTTCACCTGTAAAACTGAGCAAATCTGGCAGTAACAGCTGCCCTTGAATCACCCACATTTCCTGAAAAATGTTTTTTTGAAAATATATAATAATTAATTAGAACCAATTCAATCTGTTGCGTGAATTTTAGACAAGATGACATACATGTACATGTATAGGTCTTATACGACTGTTACCAGTTGTTCAAATCCTCTTCTCCCTTGTCAGGAGTGGGTGAAAAAATGCCAGTCTGTGTACATATTGGCGTGCCTTTTAAAAAATAACCTAACTGGCAGTTCGAATTGAAAGAAAAACAAGTAGAAAGACACTTGTGCGTATGCAAAATTACTATGTTTGTCCCCAAATCAGCTAAAATCCCTTTTGCTTCTTATTTGTTTACCTATGCATATATCTCCAATATCTGATGGTGATACATTCACGTCTGCTATTACAGCTTTAAATACAGCTGCCAGTAAATCATCTGGGTAGGTGTCCTAAAATATGATATAAAAAATTAGTAAAGGATAAAGCTGTGCAGATAATTGTCATGTATATTTTGTTATTAATGATGTAAAATAACTTGAACAGATTTATCAATTATAAACTGTTCCCAAGATAAATACACAATCATCAGGGTAATATCGTTTGGGCGAGTCAAAGGAGTTGTTTGGCAAAGATTGTTGTTATCACTCTACAGTGCGCCTATGGACTCATGGAGGCTCACTGAATATACAGGTATTGTGCTGGCTCACCAGGGTCGATCAGATGTTGACCGAGAAAATTTCACAGGATTTTCGAGCCTAATTTCCCCTTGTCAATGACAATGGTACAGGATGGAGGAAATGGGGCGCTAAAGCACTTTCGTACTTGCCGTGGTCCTAAAGACTTGAAATTGCATTGTGCCGAATTTTTAATCTAGAGTAGGCAAAATTTCACTTCAAGATTAAATTGCCTTTATTAGGTGGGTTGGTGCACTAAAGTTAAGTAGGCCTAGGACGTCAAACCCTATTTCATTTCACTATTCATTTCAATAAATTCATTTGGTGTGTTATCCTGCATTTTTATCGACAGGATAGGCCCACAGGTTTATCGGCCAACTTCACTGAAATTAAATTTTGGCACATAGTGCCACCCAGATATGGGTGCAAAATCCTAAGAGATCCATAGGTAAATTCTCAAAAACAAGGAGTCTTTGAAGTTTCGGATAACTGAAGTGAAGAACAGGAACTTTATCGCTCTCTCTAGCCCTCAAAAAGCAAACACAATCACATCAAATAATCCTTGGATTTTTGTGTGCATCATCTAATAATAAATGTTAAGAAAATTAAGCAAATGGACTCTGACACTTGCTTTGTCATTGTGCCCATGGCATGATGATGAAGTAGGCCTCCGCCGAAGATTCGCATGGTATGGTGCCTACCTTAAAGCTTCCCCGTTTTGCTTTCCCGATCGGTGTTCTAAGAGCTGACACAATGACTATATCTTCTGGCGAGTTGTTAGCAGCTGTCGGGTTGTGATCAATCTGCCATTCATGGAGATTTCTGCTAATGACATGACCAGATAATACCCTTAGTCGATCCATGTTGTTTCACCTGACCAAAGTTCACCGTTATGACAGCTAGGGATTCTCTTTTGTAAAGTTTTGATACGTCATGAATCAAAACGAGGAAGGGGGGTTTCCAGTTAGTAGTTACTGCACGGTGTTTATTTAAAAAAAATACCTTTGAAAATCAATATTGAATCACATTTGTGTAAAAATGAAATAAACGAACCAACCAGCTTATAATTATAATATATATAACTAGATACAGGCTACTGTAAGGAAGAAGTAATGATACATGTGTCAAAGAGTTCGCACCGGCAAATTATAACTAAAGGGAGGCAACTCGATAATTTATTCGACCGGAAGAGGCATCTGTTACTTAATTTAGATTTAGAGGTGGATTTTTTCTGAAGAGAGATAGGAGGTATCCAGGGAAGCCCTGCAGATAAATGTAAGTAAATACTTATCTGACTTGCAACCAAGCCTGAAATTTCAGTTGTGCACTGTTTTTGTGTCGAGGCATTTGCGAAAGCTTTAACTATGTGCAGTGTTACCATATGAATATGGAAAAACGCAACATCTGTGACATCTCATTCGCCTGGACCTGGAGTATTGAGTTGACCATTGTCATTGTCACTTGCGTTCTATGACTATTAACTTATCAGACTGTACTCCAGCCAGACTTATTAGACTTAGTAGTACCACTAGTGCCAATGCCTAAGTGATTAGTAAGACAGTTTAGCCCGTGGAAAAAAGGATTAAATTAGTTGGACAATTAATTAGCAATGACAATATTTGATGTTAATGGTTTCACCTTCTATGTTTTAATATTTATTGAACTGTCAACTGATCTACATGTATAGCCTAGCTTACCACCCTTGGAGAACAAATAGATAGTTAAGATAGATGTAATGTAGTCTATATCATTTAACCTCTCACACAGAGACCACAGGTCCAAGTTAAAACATCATGACCACTCTCACCATGGACCTTATAGTTATAATACATTATATAAGGTCCATGGTCTCACCAATATGAAGATAGGAATTTTTGAATCAATATCACACTTAAATTAATCTTAGATTTATGTTATATGTTGATATAATTGGTTAGATGCAGTTAAGAAATAATAAATTTATTAGATAGCAATATTAGCCATTTTTTTTAACCATTCATTTACAAAAGTAACTGAGTTTAAGAAGAGATTTGTTTTGTACCAACATTTACTGATTGATAACTTGCTTGCTATATTTCATAAATATTGTTGATTAGGAATTGTAATTCATGTTGAAGATAGTTTGTGGATTGTAAATAATCTTTAACACCTTGCAAGAGCACTTTCAATACCTTTAATTGGCTTCCAAAAACAACACATAATTCTTCTGAAGAAACAAACAGATGTTAATCGACACCTTCATCTGACAGATTAATTTCTGGTCATGGTCTGTATCTGCGCTGTCCAGCAAATACTCAGTTCAGATCACTTAAACATACTGACTAATCAAATTACAGATCTTGCTGTGCAGAAGAGTGATCACTCGCCCTCACCCAAGCTTGCAAATAAAAAATATGAGAGCAAGAACACTGAACACTAAATGTATAGAAATAGAATATTTTGTAGATTAATGCTTTCATTAGTTGTGTTACCCAGCTTGCACGGGCGTGAAAGAATAAGTCTGTATAGTTTGTCTCCATTTTTCAGACGTACATTATAACACAGTAATCATTAAACAGACATTATACAAGAGCTAAATCTGCCTTTAGCATGTCTTTAAACTGTTAGACATTTATTAACATGACAAGACCATAATGAACTCTCGATGCTATCTGAACTGATGGGTCTGATTTTCAACTTCTGTTGATGATTAAGCGTAAAAATAATTGATAATTGAGACTTTGTTTATTACTTTTATTAGTGTAACAATGACAATCGAGGCTATAGTGTTTTTTTAAATGAGAATTTCTTGGCTCAAGAGTGAAGTAATTTGACTGAAATTTTCGGGATACTCCCTTTACATTATATATTTTTTTACTATTATAATTTTTTATAGCAAGAATTGTCAGCTCTTTATCTAGTCTTCCATCATGCCACTTTAATTGTCAATTTCATCATGAAAGGCTGCCCCAAAATAAATACATGTACCACCATTAAATTTCTTGTAAAAAAGTTCTGTAGTTTCTGATGAGAAACAATCTGAAGTACAAGATGAATACAGGTATTCATTTTATAATTCTTAAAAACCAAAACTGTTATAATAAACTTGCTTTCTTTCAAGATTGCACATCTCGAGGGCTAAGAGATCTTAGTGTATCGTGAATACATGTAACTCGCACATCTCAATTTTGCAAAATGGAATGTCTTCCTTGGACATTTTGGGAACCTGGTTTGTGTTGTGTCATAACAGACAAAATTATCAGTAATCATTAATTATCAATTTTATCCAAAAATACTGAAACGAATACAAAATAACCACAGCACTGTTAAATTCCTTTTTAAAAAAAGGTTATTATGAAGTTATTTTAGTTAGAATGTTTGGTTTGCTATAGCAAACATCCAAACAAACAAATATTAGACTTGTAAAATAAAAATTATTAGTGAAACCAGTATTATTACACGCTGTTGCTGTGAAGTAACTGATAAATTGTCAAGCCATCTGTTACCCAACGGATGCAAAAAAGTTTATACAAATTATAACATTCAATCCAAATGGCATTTGTACAGAAATAGAATTGATCTAGGCTACTACTAGGTGCAGAAAGTATGTTCATTGTCTATGATGTGACATTATCAGTGTATCACATGAACAGTCATCTACAAGTAAATGATGGATAGAAATACTCTACTTGAATTGGGAGGCAATTAACATATTACATTTGTACAACTTGACAAAAGAGTGTTTATAAACTGCACCCCATAGCATTACCTTTGATATCAATTGACATACATTATGCAAGAGCTAAATCTGCCTATTGCAGGTCCTTTTTTAGGCGTGAAATGGTATCTAAATTATTAATTAGACATTAATTAACTTATCCAGACCATCAACTCTCGATGTCAACACTAAGCCAAAAATTCAATCACTAAAATCTTGGTTCAGAGTGGATCAATTTGACTGAAATTTTTAGCAAATTCCCTTTACATTACCTAGTTTTTAACTAGTTTTTAACTATTATAGTGAGAACTGCCAGCTCTTTATCTTTAATTTCCCATAATGTATCTTTAAGTAATTTATTAATTTCACTTAAGGACTAGTAGGTAACAAAATGACTTAATTCACAGTTTTTATATTGCATAATTTATACTTACTGGTATAAATATTAATAACTATACATGTACATAATTAATATTTTATTATAATACTAATAACTATTGTATGTAATATAGATTGCAACACCTGCACGATTTACAGAATGTAGTTGTTGATAATTTTATTGATAATTTACTAAAGTGTAAAATATGATGTTAAATTAATTATTTAGGCGTGTAATATAGATTTATATCATACATTTTATGGTATTTTATGATCTGCATGTAAATGTATGTACATACACCCACATTTTGTTGTGGAGACATTATGTCATTGACCCTGTCCTTCCGGATGTCCGTTCAGATTTGTTTGTGGACACTCTACACAGGTCACAATTTTTAGCTGATAATTTTGAGTGAAACCTGTATGATACTTGCTGTTCTTAAAACAAAACTAAAACAATTTGGTGATAAAAGGTTCAGTGCTGCTGCACCTCGCCTTTGGAATCAGTTACCAGTAAACATTAAAGAATCTCAGACTTTCACAATCTTTAAGTCACAACTAAAACTCGTTTGTTTAAACTGTATTATCCAGATTAGAAACAGATTGTTTATGTGTGTTTTTAATGGCGAGAGACTTTTTAAATTTTTTGCGCTTTGAGCATGCGAATACTATATGGATGGATTATTAAGCGCATTACAAATATACATTATTATTATTATTACAGGCATGGGACGAGACTCATTTATTTGATATTTGTTGTTTATATCTTGCAATATCTGTGTAGTTTTCCTTGTCCGCAGGTTTGTCTTATCAGGCTTGTTTGGTGTGTAGTGCAGTTCTCCTACTGTCACTATTTACTATATCTATACAGTTTTAAAACTGTAAAATCTTATCAAAATTATAGTCAACCAGTACATACATGTAGTAATACTGTGAATGATATTTTAGAGTTTTATGTGAATGAAACACCCACCAATTAAAGAAGTACTATCATTAGTCAGATCAGTAAAGATCTGATTTCACAATTGACTTGTCTGATAATTTGAGAAAAATCTATCAATCGACTCTTGAAGTATTACAGTGAAGGGAAGCATTTAGTAAATCTTTTTCGGGTAGCATTAATTTCATGATGCAATAGATTTCTTATATGTATAAAATAATTTTTGGCGGAAGTTATTTTAAAGCCTTTTAAGTAAGCCATTGGTTTTTATACGCCCACATTGAAATGTGGTCGTATTGTGTAGTCGCCCCCGTCCGTCAGTCCGTCCATTCGTTCGGCGTCCACAATTGCTTGTGGATGCTGTATAGGCTAAAGTTAATATCCGATTGACTTTAAATTTATACACAGTGTTTAAGGTCATGAGACGAAGAAGCCTATTGATTTTCAGAGATTTTCGATAATTACTGCCAGAGTTATGGCCCTTGATCCCATCAAAAAATCTTGTGGACGCTCTAGAGGTCAAAGGTAATATCCGATTGACATTAAATTTATACACAGTGTTTAAGGTCATGAGACGAAGAAGCCTATTGATTTTCAACAATTTTCGATAATTACTGCCAGAGTTATGGCCCTTGATCACTTCAAAACATCTTGTGGACGCTCTAGAGGTCAAAGTTAATATCCGATTGACTTTAAATTTATACACAGTGTTTAAGGTCATGAGACGAAGATAATTACTGCCAGAGTTATGGCCCTTGATCACTTTGAAAAATCTTGTGGACACTCTAGAGGCTAAAGTAAATATCCGATTGACTTTAAATTTATTCACAGTGTTTAAGGTCATGAGACGAAGAATCCTATTGATTTTCAGCGATTTCCGATAATTACTGCCAGAGTTATGGCTCTTGATCACTTTGAAAAATCTTGTGGACGCTCTAGAGGCTAAAGTTAATATCCGATTGCTTCAGATTGATACACAGATTTTAAGGTCTTGAGACGAACAAGTATATTGATTTTCAATGAATCTTTATGACTTGAACAGCTAAATCCATGATGTTAAAAGTTTCGTATACTAAATGTTAGCATGGGGCCGAACTTTATAAAAACCAAACAAATTCTAATGGTTTTCTGATAATTACTTAATGAGTTGTTACTCTTAATCAGATTTTAATGTATTATAAATGTTTCATTACCGAAAAAAGTAAAAATATGCGACAACTCTTGTTGACTGCCCTGATGATATAGCTGCTGTGGGCATATGTTTCGTTGCCTGGCAACCTATCTTTTTCAATGACATCAAGCATGCAACTGTCTGGCATTCTCCATCTGCTTGTGACAAAGGGTTAAAGTTGCGAACACTCTTTTCATCACTTCTACTTAGTTCTTGTTTTTATAACCTGGCCTTGACATTTACCATGGCTATTTGTATTATAGTCCCGCCCATCTTCATAAACACAGTTGGTGCAAATTAGTAGGACTATAAACCCCATTTCATTTCGATTTTGTAGACTTCCATTGGCTAGTAGAGACGTGTGGGCCAATCGGCAGTTAAAAACAAAAATATTGACTCGTGAAAGCAAGGGTTTAATTGAGGGAGTTTAGTTTACATTCAACTGTATTTTGAAGATGGGCATTCAAATAAATTTCATACTCTGCATAAAAAACATTAGATAGTGAATGAAATACATAAGAAAAAAGGTGTGCAAAGGCTAATGTTGTCCTGGACCTTGAATTTCATTGTTCAATAAACAGTTGGGTACATGTAGCTTTAACTTTCCAGTGGGTGTTATTTGGACCATGTCCCTTGCATTGCCTCTTGAAAGATTTTGTGATGAAAGCATGAACTATGATTAGTCATTTATCTAACCTTATTCTTACTGTGTACATATTATTGATAAGATTAAACAATTGTTTATCATTAATATTGCCATGACTCAGCTCACTTGTTAGATACAGTGCCAGTTGTGAAGCATACATGTTGAAGTTGTAATTCACATTTATTTTGTGTAAAGTTACCCAGGAATTGCAGTAAAGTTCACAGCTTTTATTTAGTTTTTAGTAATTCAGTTAAAGGACAACATCAGCTTTTGCAGTATGGTAATGTACACAAGGCAATGTTACATAATGTGTAACTGGTGTTGATGATGGATTAATAATTCTCACTTCCATAGTTTTGTTTTGGTTTAATTAATTTCTCTGGTATTGTCTTTAATTACATTTAATAGTGACTAAAAAGTAATTAGATGGCCTGAATTGTTATAATAGGCCAATTTTGATGGCCGCAATTTGGTAATATTGTGTATGGTGACTAGGATATAAAAGTAAAGTCAATATTTCCTGTTTATTGTTGAATATTGAGCATTGAAATTACTGTTAAGAAGCTGTTAAAATAGTGACAGATGTATGAGGTGGCACACAAGTCACAAGCTTACCTCAGGTCAGTGTTCTTGTGCTTCCAGTTGGTCGGATGGGTTGAAAAACTGAGATTCTGTGTATACTTGATGTGAATGTAAAAGATCTCTTGACAGTTAGAATTTGATATAAGAGAAGGCTCATAGCACATTGTATGGCGTATGCCCATCTTCATTAGCAAAATCAGAGCAGATATGTAGGCCTTTGTGTACCTGATTTCCTTTCCTTACCTTTCCTACTGCTTCCAGATGCGTCCAGATCTTTCCACTAGTGTAATATTTGTAGCTTTCTAAGGTGTCTTGCAAAGGATATCTCCATACAGGACTAATGGTACCAGTACTACATGCATGCGTTGTGATATATATTTTTCTGGGAATATTTTATTTACTAAGCCTTTTTGCGAATGTTTTGGATCTGCAAAATGTGGCATCATATATCTGTGTCGTGTAAAATGTATGGAAACTTTCGTAAGCAGGGCCGTAACTAGCTCAGAGCAACGAGGGGAGGGGGGGAGTGTACTCAGTGGTACTGTAAAATTGACAGACAATTTATATTTATTTTACGGGCCTGTTCATAAGTAAAAAGCTACCAATCACAGATATTCCAGAAAATGTATATGTACATGTATATAATAGCCTAACAGGTGCATGTATCTTTGAGGTATGTGAGGTTTTTTAAATTTCTGTATGTAATTACATGGTCATTTTTGTATTTGCAACATCAAAATGGGTGTTATAATATCAAAAGGGATTAAGTTTTTTTATGTTTGAATCAGCTTACTTTAGGTCTTCTGGTTAGGTCCCAGGTTCACATCCTGTTATAAATTGAAAAAAGTTTTCAACATCTTCCATGGGCAGATAGAGGCTTTTCAAAGGGTTGCAATGGGAGGGTGATTATTTGGAAGAGTGCCTTCTCCACTCAATATTCACTTTAAAAACATACATTGTATTTAATGATGCATTATTAGTAAGTGTAAGATTTAGATAAAGAGCTTACAGTTCTCGCTATAATAGTAATAGTTAAAAAATAGAAAATGAATTTAAGGGAATTGATAATTTCAGTTAATTTACTTCATTCTGAGTGGAGTAATCATTGTTTGCAAACAGTGTAGTCTTGATTGTCATTGTTACCATTGTTGCGATAATAAACAAAGTCTTGATTATCCATTTTAAATTAAATCATTAAATGCCAGTCGTATTTAATCTGTTGAAAATCAAAACCATTCGAAGTTCTAGAAAGTTAGTTATGGACCTAGGATCTAAATTTACATTGTAGCTCTTGAAAAATGCATTTTTGATAGCTGTTTTTGATTAACTGTAAGAATGGATAATCAAGACTTTGTTTATTATCGCAACAATGGTAACAATGACAATCAAGGCTACAGTGTTATTAAAATGAGGATTTTTCAGCTCAGAGTGAAGTAATTTGACTGAAATTTTCAGCAGATTCCTTTTACATTATCTATAATTTCTTTAACCAGTATAGAGAGAACTGTCAGCTCTTTATCTAATCTTCCATAATGCCACTTTAATATTTGCATCATATGTTATGCCCATATGAAAGGGTAATTATGACAACCCCTCTTAAATCAGCCACTGAAGCCATGTTACTAGTTATTTGTATTTTGTCATTAAATTATAATAGTTGAGAAATCAAGTTTAAAGATACATTTTTTCTTATACAGCATTCAGGAAACATGTACGTAATGTATAAGAAGAGGGGAGTATCCCTTTAAAACTGTCATTTACTATGTATGTACATGACATTTTTATAATGTTGTAGGCTGACATCTAAAGGGAAATCAGTACATTTTCACTTTTAATCCCAAACACTGTGAGACTGTCACAAATTGACCTATTTATTTCATTAGTACAAGATATTATCTTAGCAGGATTCCATATTAGATTTTTTGTATCATGGATGTCTTAAGGTGGCAATAAGTTTAAGTAAGTCTGAATAATTTGTTGCTATTAGTCAGCTTTATAAGCATATTAATTGTACAATTTTAGTTTTGATTTAGAAATTGTAATAGTTTAAGATCCGTGGTACTGGCAATCTTCTCAAATAATGTACATTGTTTATCTGTCTATATGATATCACTTTCTTCAAACAAACGTTATTTTGGTTGCTGGGGGATATATTGAGCGCTCAAATGGTCATTGTGTGCATGTTGCATCATATTAAGGTATGTCATTGAGGCAAGTGCCATGGTTTTGATTCGCCGCTTGTACGTGACAGGAGTAGGGTCGGCTTGTCCAACCTTGTGGGTTTCCTTTGGGTTATACAGTTTCCTCCCACTGCTGAAGACCCCTACACCCCAAAATGACCTAGTTTGTGTTGAGTGGAGTGGACGTTAAACTCCATTTCTCTCTCTCTCTCTCTATTTTGGTTCCCAACTAATTATAGAACTAGAAGTAAGGGTTTCAAATGTATTGGAGAAATGTATAGGTTTGTAAGATTTAACAACATTGTAGATAGGCCTTATACCATATTTTAACTACATGACTACATGCAAAGGATATAAATTACAATATTGCTACTTTAAAAGGTCATTTTATACATGAATGTATATGATTATTTTTTGGATCACGTTCGTTGTTACTTATTGAGTTTTAATGCTAGACATAGTTTTCTTTTAAGTAAATATTACAATGATGACAGTGGAAAGTTTTATTATTGGATTGAATAAGGAGTTTGTTTTTGTGCATTTTGTGTTTTTGGATAACTACTATTTTTAGTGTGCTTTTGTTTGTCTTATGATTTGAGTAGAGTTTTTAGTTTTAGTAAATATTTGACTTTGATCATGGTTTTGAAAGTAATAATTGGTAGAGGCCTACTTTTATTATAAAGTTTCGATATTGAATTTTTTATGTAATTTCTTACACTAGCATTCTGAATAGAGCCAACAATTTGTTGAGAGAATATAACATTCATTTGTATTGTATAAAATAAGTGGTTGATATTCAAGATATTTTCAAAATGGCAGAACATTCAGGAATAACACCACCGATATCTAATAATGGGATTGAAGATGAAAAGTAGGTTTTAATATTGTAATATTTACAGTTACATTGTTAACCTATGAAGCTAAATTATATTTTGTCATGGGAGAGGTGGGAATTAGTATTATGTTATAACCTATTTATATGTTTTAAAGTTACACAGGTCACAATTCTATGGAATACCATTACTACAGCTTATTACTGAGCGATGTTTCAACTAGGCTTCACTAGTCATTATCAAGTTTTAGATTTGTTTTACTCACCCCTTTTCATCACATTCTTAGTTATTATTTTTTTTTTCAGAAGGAATTTTTAATAAATGTGGGTGGGGTCTATTTTAGATTATAAGGTCTGTTATCGATCTTCACTCTTGTGACAAGGCGTGTGTTTTCTTCAGATACCTTGCACAAGTAAATTAATGATATAAAAATATACTGTATATGTTGTAGTGAATTCCAAACTCCATTTCTCTCTCTCATAAATGAAAGCCTGGGTGGTATATATACATGTGTAAATTTATAAAAAATAAAAAAAATGCCAGTTAAAAAGAAGTCAACTACTTTTACTTTGTATATTATATATAAATAGATAAACAAAAATGACATTAACACTGTTTTCATTGTCAGATATTATTAAATGAATGTTTCGAAGAGGTACTCTCTTCTTCTTCAAGGTAATCAATAAAACATTTAAAAATAATCTCTATAAGGAAACAGAAATTATTTTTAAATATTTTATTTATTACCTTGGTTTTAAAATATCTGATGATGAAAACAGTGTTAGTTTCACTTTTGTTTATCTACTTCAATATTTATCTAGTGAAGGACACTTCCGTATCAGATCTTCGATCCATTATTTCCATATTTCTGTTGGACGCGGATTCCAAAACAAATTTGGTATATAATATACATGTAGGACATTAAGTTGATTTTGACCCACTTTTTGTGCTCCCTAAATAAGATCAGTGTAAGAAAATGAAACATATGTTGTGGTAAAAATGTTAATTAATAAACTTAATACTTTTCTTTTTTAGCCAACTGAAAATGGAACCATTGGGAAAGTCTCCTAGTTCTTCTGATCTGAAATATTTAACATGGTTGGTACTACTAGCACAAGCATTCGGACTATCTGCAGTAGTTTTGGTAGCGGTGTGGATGGGCCATTTTCAGAAAGGATTTTCTTGGCAGAGTGATCCCAATTTAGAATTTAATTATCATCCTTTGTTCATGATTATTGGAATGATTTTCCTGTATTCTGATGGTAAGTTTACTGTTAATCTTTTACTAGTTAATGTTATACTAATTAATATTAATATTTTACAAGTTAATGTCAATATTTTACTAGTTTACTGTTAATCTTTTCTTTACTAGTTAATGTCGTCAATATTTTACTACCGGTAGTTAAAATGTTTTACAAGATAATGTTAACATTTCAGACCATCGGTCAGGTTATAAAGTGGTTATGCAAATTTGAAAACATGCAAAGGGCTTTCCATATACCTCATTTATATGTATCATGTACATGTATGTCCCTTTATAAATTTTTGCTAACTTGATTGAGTAAACCGGAAACAAATGTTATTAATTTTCCATCTTGTTTACTTATTAGACTAAACAATTTTAAGAATACTGGCTTTGTATTGCCCTAGGTAAAATTTTAGGTCTTAGCTAAATATTTTACTTATTATAACCTTTTCATGAATAAGACCCCTGGCCGACTGTCTACAGATCATGATGAAATATTTCACTGAAGATCAGATTTTTGTTCCTTCAGCCCAGTCGTTAGAAAAAGACAAATACCTATCAAAATAGAACATTAGCGTGTGATTGCTATTATTTTCCATACTAGAGGCCAGTCCAGTAACCAAGCACAATATTTAGATAAAATGATCATGTTTCCCCTGAGGATTATAGAGGGTATACAGCCCTTTGATGTATTAATAATAGTATGTACTGTACATTGTTCACACATAGACATACAACGCTTTGGCTTTTTACTGTTGAGATCTTGTCAAAATCATCCAGTTAAAATTGATTTGTGTGACCAACAGTAGCTGAGCACCCATTGATAATTGCAAGTTGTTGCGAAGGAAAATATACAGTAGACAAAAACACATACTTATGGAAAAACAGCTACTTATTTATTTGGGCGAAGTTTCAAAGAGTATTCTCTCAACGTTATCAACTATTCCATAAGTATGTGTTTTTGTGTAAATATTGCTCTATCCAGTTACTAAATGCCTCTAAAAGATGAAAATATACAGATTATCTCTGTTCACAGTAGGTTGCATACGAAATGGCAGGAGCTCCAACCAGAATTGGATTTCTGCTTTTACTAGACAAAAATCCAACAAAAAAAAAGACAAAAATCGATCAGTCTAATTCACATGTTCTTATTTTTATTTTCTAGCTATTTTAGCCTATAGAGTGTTCCGTAATGATAAGAAAATCTATGTCAAACTTCTGCATGCTGGCATGCATGTCTGTGCTTTACTCTTTGCTGCTGTTGGACTTAAAGCTGTCTTTGATAGTCACAATCTACCAGACCCACCTAAAGCTAACCTATCAACTCTACACAGCTGGGTTGGTTTGATTGCTGTGGTCCTGTATGGTCTACAGGTAAGTTAAATGTTAAAAGCTTTGATCTGAATAGCAGTCTATGTGCAACAAAGAGATAGAAACCACAAAATTCAGTAAAACATTCACAATGAAATCACATGAATTAATATCAACTATGATGAGCTGGTTATTGCAGTCTCTTTGTTTTTACTACACTGCTGGAAAGCCAGAACTAGGGAAATGAAAAGAACATAAAATAAAGGTTCATTGTCCTATTGTTCTGCACCGATTGGGCTAATGAAGAGGGCAATTTTGTCCAGGTAACAGAGCCATGGCCTGCTCTGATAACGAATTCAAATTGTCAAGGTTTTTTTTTACGTGCATGCCCATGTGTACACAGGACCTATGTTTTACGTCCCATCTGAACGACATGGGGAAACCACACTCTGCCAACACTTGGGGTCGAACCCCGGACCTCCTGGTTGGTGAGCCAGTGCCCTATCCACTGAGCCACTGTGGCTCCCCCAGCGCTAGGGACCTGCTGACAAGTTAGAAAATACAATCTCCCATTGGCTGATAAATAATGGCCAAGGGATTTCACCAGGTACATGTATATATTATTTAGTATTTTATACAGAAGTTCTCAGACAAATACTATGTAAAGTGACATTTAAGTAACCAAAGGAATACATTTGCCTACCATACACTGGTACTTTTATTGTGTATTTGATAACATTTTAAATCCATGAATTAATTTAAAGACTAATTGAATAAATATTTAAGTGATAATCGGGGGTGTAACTCACATGTATAATTATCTACGTACAGGGGGCACTGTTATACTTCCGTTTGGCGATGGAAATTATATACTAGATGACTGTGCGAAAACCCAGACTTTCTTGTGCCTTCCACTCAAAATCAGTTAAATCAGTTGAACTCATAACTTCTTACAGACTATCTTAATTAATACAAAAACAGAAAAAGAAGCAAAAGAATTAGATATTCCAGATTTCAAAACGTCAGTAACTTTATGCAAACGAGGTCTGATTTACATGTATGCATTTGAACAATTTTTTACACATATTTATCATTATTGAAATTAGAGGAAAAGGTTTTGATTCTTTTTCTTTTAGTAGAACTAAGAGAAAGTGAATTGTTTTGAAATCATAGTATAGAGGGACCTTTCTACATTTGTATACATCTTTTTCAGTGGCTTGGTGGATTCTTCTGTTTTTTATTTCCAAAAGCCGGAATGGCTACACGGATTATGATGATGCCACATCATCAGTTCTGGGGAATGGCTATTTTTGGATTTGCTGTAGCTGCTGCCCTAATGGGAATCACAGAAAAAGCCATCCTCTCAATGTAAGTATTACCCCAAAATTGTTGCCAAACAATATTTAATGTCCACACAGAATTATTGCCATAGCCTGTCATAGGTGTTCAATTGTATTAGGCAGATTAGTCATATTTTAGCCATTTTCAGGCAGTAATCTGGTAAAATTGAAAGATTACATTGGTAAATTTTATTAGGACGCTCCCAGACATGATAGGTCTTGTACAATGTACTGGTACATCTATGATTGTTTGCACGGCCCACCCCTGTAAAAGCTGTCATATATTATCGGTATGTTAGAAAGTAGAGCCTTGTTCCATTTAGATTTAATTGGTGAGGTATCATGTACAAGTCAGTGTATATCCACTCTTTCAGACATTCAACTAATGCCAAAGCCAATTGAAAATGTGTTTGGACATTGAAAATGGAACTACTTGAAATTTGTACATTGAAATTTTGGATCCAGTTGGCCTGATCTGTTGAAAAAGTGATAACCTCAAGTTTTATCACATTTTTGCAAACCGAAGGAAACTTCTTGTCCCTGACCAAATTTTTGTAAATATTTCTACTGACATTTTCTTCTCTTTCAACAGCAAACCGGTCAGCTATTTTGGTAAACCACCAGAGGGTTTGGTTGCTAACTTCCTTGGTTTGATGATTTTAGGCCTAGCAACAACAGTTATTTACATATTGACTAGACCTGAATACAAGCGACCTCCTTCACCAGATGAAGAACATCTTCAGTTACAAGAGAACTGATTGGCTACATTGGTTTGGACCTCTCCCAATCAGAATTATTCATATAATGGTGCATTCAATGGGGGCTATATATAAATGTTTTACTTGCTGTTTGTAAAATCTGTCAGTGTGTTTGATGGTAGAATATATAACCTTCTTGAAATTAAGAAATTTTATCTTGTATTATTGGAATTAGTTCTACCCATTTTCTGTAAATATCATGTTTGTGGCAGACAAACTCGCTTTCTAGACATTATTATTATATGGGGAATATTTTAATCTCTCAGTAGATTTTTTGCAGATAGCTATATAATTGATGATTTTCAGAATGAAAATTTTGCTGCCAAAGTCCCCATTTTATGTTTTTTTTCTTCATAATTTACTATTCCATTTAGTCTGTATCACATATTCATGTAATCTACATTCAAAGCATTCAAGTTATAAGGTCATTATGTATATTTTTATTTCTGATCAACTTCACACCCCATCTTTTTGTTTTATTCTCTCTGTTTTTATTTAAAGATCCATTTCCACTATGTGTCAATAAATGAGACAAGAATATATTATAGGTCAGAATTGATTTCTGATCTTATTTTAATTTCAAATCTTTTAAATATAATATTTATTGGCAGCAATGAAATTCGATACCGATTCTATATTAAAGATGCATTATGTGAGATTTAGATAAAGAGCTGGTCATTCTTGCTTTAATAGTTCAAAAATAGATAATGAAAAATGAATATATTGAAATTTTCATTCAAATTGCATTATTCTGACCAAAGTGATGACAGTTTGAAGATACACATTAAAACTACAAAACTAAAGTAATAAAGAATTTGATGTTTTTGAATATGGTCAAGATATGCGCAAGTTCATTTGTATTCATATGTTTTGCTTCGAATTTAAAATGTCTTAACCCGTTGTAATGATATAACTTTGTAATTCCTTGTCACTTATATTCCTTCTTATATACCTTTATACCCTTTTTTCTTTTGATTATATATCCTATATCTGTTTATTCATGTCAGGGTAAATTATTTAGGCTTGTTTCTTTTAATTTTTTAAGTCAAGAAATTGTGCCAGAAAAAAAAAATATTTCAAATTCTGGTTTCCATTAAATGCCATTAGGACTTTGTCTTGTAATGGATGGTTTATTGATAGTAATATAACATAAAGTTGTGATGGAAATCTTTTAAAAATATATATGAAAGGGATTAGAAATCAAAATATATCAGTATTCAGCCAGATTCAGTGGCTTGTTTATTTATTCCTTGTCTTAGAAAGCTCAAAATCAAAAATATGGCCTACATTATAACTTATTTCTTAAGATACATCAGGCTCCGAGATTATATCCAACCCTTTCGTTTTAACTTCTCAATTTACCATACCAATGTGGATTATCCATTTTGCTCAGTGGAAGGGATTTGCTGTAGAAAATTGGTTAAAATGATACGGTTGTTTTGTCTGTGTAGAATCCAAATGATTTTATGCAAGCATTATAAAAGGTTGTATCCAAATTGATTTTTAATAACTTGGTTTTAATCTGATGTACCCAATTTGATGTAATTACCATACAGGAAAATTGGTCAAAAATGGGTGCTGGGGTTGCTTTTAAAAAGGAATTAAACAAAAGTGCCTTGATGGTTTACTTTTATGGCATATTGTAAGACATATTTTATGTTTAGCTTACATAGAGTAAGCAAATGTTGTTAGGGGCTAATTACAGTTATAAGAAACCCAGTTGTTGGGTGCTATTACAGTTGAATATGGTAAATTTAGCCTATGTGTTCCCTTGTATTGAACAATAATAATAGTTTGCATGTATTTGTATTTTGAGATTTAGTTAAGTTACAATGGCATACATGAATGTTCTACGAGTAGACTGTTTAGAATATCAATTGACTGTGTCTAACAATATAAATGATTCACAGAGTCCTACATTTTTATATGGAAAATGATGAAATGGTTCAAAACTAGCAATTCCTATTAGCATCAGGATCTCCAATAATCTATTAGTGATTTTAGGAGCATTATGTTTTAACATAAATGTCTGAAGCTAGATTTGAAGGAGCTATATGATATTCCAGAGAATAAGCTGTTGGGATGACAATGTGAAAACACATGACAGTGCTGGACCTTGTTGTAGTCTTGCTCATCTTGAATAGATTCATGTGATGTCAGCTGTCAAAGGACAATTTGCTTGCAACATCATCTTTTGGTCAGTTCCTAGAAATCATTTAAAATGATCACTGATTTATCAGTCAATGGAAATAACATAATTATTTATGATTTTTTTATTAATATTAAAACTACTGATAGCATTGACCATGTAGTGATTGAAAACAAGAACCAGTGGCAATGTGGTTGGGCTGAGTAGATGTTTGATAGCAGTGGAATTATTGTCATATTTACAGGTTGTAAACTAGAACCAGTGACAATATGGTTGTTAATAAGGATATTTAGTTTTTAATATTCATATCAATTATTGTATGTATGAATTGTATATTTATAGATGTTGTATATAAGTATACTTTATAAGTATAGATATGCTCTTTCCTTGATCTCTTAGAATAGTGTTATTTAAATTACATTCCAAAATAAGACATTTATGTATTTTGTTTTAAATTATGTACCTGGATATTAAATTTAAAAGATCTACTTGAACTTATTCCTACCATTAAGCTAGATTATTTGAAAACATGAGATTGTTCAACCTCCATGACAGACTAAAACAACTTTACATCATAGATCTTTTGGAGTTACAAAGTCACCATGTATTGGAGTTATAAGCTCACCATGTATGTGCAGGCAGCAAGTTTGAAAACATTGAAGCTTTTTAGGTCTGCCCACTTATTTTGTTGATTTCTCTGTTATTATGTCTTCTTCCCTCATTGCTTTATTTGAACTTAATGAAATCGATTGCCAATCAAAATCTTTTTAAAATTTTAAAATTTAATGTCTTATTACTTCAATTACTCAAAAGAAATAGTATTAGTTTAGGAACCCTCTTAGCTTATTAACTAATTAAATATATATTTAAGTTTTGGGGTTTTTTTTCAATTTACACAGGCTCTTATCTTTTTTAAATAATGTACATTTTAATAGTGTTTCTCTATCTTGACTCAATTTTTATTTGTGTGTATTAACTATTAAAATATATTAGTGTTGTTGCATAATTCATAAATTTTTAGTTTTTCACTCATTGTCATGAACAAAATAAGACCTTAAAAACCATTCCATTATCAATAAACAGTGAACAAGGGTAAGATTATCACACTGTATTTTATTGTCCCCCGCCTTTCGAAGAAAGCAAGGGACTATTAAAATGGGTTCTTCCGTCTGTCTGTCTGTCTTTCCGTCCGTCCGTCTGTCTGTCCGTCCGTCCGTCCGTCCGTCCGTCCGTCTGTCCGTCACACTTTTTGGGACACAATAACTCTCCTTCTAATTGACCTAGAATGTTCAAACTTGGTGTAGGTGTTTATTAGGTCAATGTCTTGATGGAGTTCGAAGATGAGCATTTTCTGCTTAGGGTAAGCAGAGATAAGCGATTTGATTGGTTGATGCTTTGGGACACGATAACTTTAGTTCTAATTAAGTGAGAGTGATGAAACTTGGTGTATAGTTTCATTACATCAATACCTTGACTAAGTTCGATAATGAGCATTTTCTGCTCAGGGTAAGCAGAGCGATAAGCAATTTGATTGGCCGAGACTTTGGAACACAATAACTCTCCTTCTAATTGAGGTAAAATGTTCAAACTTGGCGTAGGTGTTTATTAGGTCAATGCCTTGATGGAGTATGAAGATGAGCATTTTCTGCTTAGGGTAAGTAGAGATAAGCAGTTTGATTGGTTGATGCTTTGGGACACGATAACTTTAGTTCCAATTAAGTGAAAGTGATGAAACTTGGTGTATAGTTTCATTACATCAATACCTTGACTAAGTTCGATATTGAGCATTTTCTGTTGAGGGTAAGCAGAACGATAAGCAATTTGATTGGCCGAGACTTTGGAACACAATAACTCTCCTTCTAATTGAGCTAGAATGTTCAAACTTGGTGTAGGTGTTTACGAGGTCAATGCCTTGATAGAGTGCAAAGATGAGCATTTTCTGCTTATGGTAAGTAGAGATAAGCAATTTGATTGGTTGATGCTTTGGGACATGATAACTTTAGTTCTAATTAAGTGAGAGTGATGAAACTTGGTGTATGGTTTCATTACATCAATACCTTGCCTAAGTTCGATGATGAGAATTGTCTGCTTAGGCTAAGGAGCAATAAGCATTTTGATTGGTCAAGACTTAGGAACATAACAACTCTGCTTCTAACTTGATGTTGATGTTCGTCTTGACCGAATTCAATGATTAACATATCGAGCTAAAGCTAAGCAGAGATAAGCAATTTCCTTGGTCGATGCTTTGGGACAAGATAACTTTGATTCTATCTGATAGAGAGTGATGAAACTTAGTGTATAGTTGATAATCAGTTTGATTGCTCAATACTTTTGAAAAAAATAGATGTGCGATTAATTAATATGTGTCATCTATTTATTTGGGGATTTCGGCGGGGGACATCAGCCTCACTGTTGGCTTGTTAATAATTAGAAATCAGTACAAAGAAATCATTATGTACAGACATTGGTTTTTTGAAACAGTTAGGGAACTAAGCCTACCCAAATATTTTTAAATGTCTTTTATAATTGACAATTATGTTGTGCAATATCTATGTTCTGAACCGCCCCGTACACACACACCCACCCGGCTAAGAGTCAGTTAAACTTTAAATTTTGATTCAATGAATTACCGGTATACTGCTCCACTGAAATGGATGTAGAATATATCTTACTTATAGTATAGACAGAAAATAATTACTAAAAGTAATAAAACTTATGATGCACATTAAAGTTAATGTCTTGGTCCCTTTTCTTTGAAAAATTGCTGGTTATTTGATATAATATATAATTAGGCAGTTTGAAAATATATGATATACAAATATATCTTGTTAATATTGTTGAAGCTGTGTATGTATGTGTATATTGTATAAGTATTTATTATGTAACAGATATCTAATTCTTTACAGATTTATTCTGAATTAAAATATATATTTGATGTTGCAATATATTGTTTATTTTCAATCTATCTCAAAAGACCAGTGTTTTATTTTTCATGGAAATCAACCATTTGAAGTGCTTGTCGTCAGTTGATATGCTCAACTAAAAAAACAAGACACGGCATGGAAAGTCAGATTATAAAGTGTGTTATTGACGGGTATTTCACGGAAAGACAGTCTTGATAGTCTTATAATAGAAAAACAATTGCATTGGCGTTATTGATGTGTACATCATGGAAAGTTATAGTAAGGGTGGTATTGATAATAATAATAATGTCAGATATCATTAAGGTTCATTATCATTTTCAGCCGTTTGGCCGCCATATTGAATGTTTTAAAACGGCTTGAAGTCGTAAACCATTTTTTTTTTTTTTTTTTTTTTTGAAACCTACTCGAAATAGTCACATTTTAGTGCTATCCGATTTTTGAATTTCGATTTTATTTACTTCCGGTTTCACTTTGAAATATTTCCGCTTCGACTTGTGAAGACTTTATTAACCTCCTATCACATGGACTAATCATTCAGTGACCCCCGACTTCTGCAAATATAATGACAAAGGTAAATACTGATAACTGTTAGCAAAAGGCTCGATCTTAAAGTAAAACTTCAGGGTTTATTCAGAGTTCAAAATAGCAGGGTTTTTGTCATCGCGTTAAAGCTGCAAGATTTAGACAAACGGTTGACAGTTCTCGCTACGATAGTTAAAAAATAGATAATGAAAGGGAATATGTAGAAAGTTTCACTCAAATTACTTCATTCTGAGCGAAGTTATTGTCATTTGCAAAATAGTGCAATCTCAATTTTCATTGCTACCGTTGTTACGATAATAAACAAAGTCTCGATTATCCATTTTTATATGTCCACATTTTCATGTGGAAGTATATTTTCGTCGCCCCTGACCATCCGTGTGTCCGTTCACATTTTATTTGTGGACACTCTACAGGTCACAATTTTTATACGCCCACATTGAAATGTGGACGTATATTGCCGTCGCCCCCGTCCGTCCGTCCATAATTTCTTGTGAACGCTCTAACGCCAAAAGTTATCATCCAATTGTTTTAAAATTGATATATGTTGTTTTCATTAGTGGGATGAAGAAGCCTATTTAATTTCAATAACTTCCGTTTATTACGTCTAGAGTTATGGCCCTTGTTTCACTTTGTTGAACCTTGTGAACGCTCTAATGCCAAAAGTTAACATACCATCTTTGTGAAATTTATATGCAATATTTAAGTTAGTGAAACGAAGAAGCCTATTGAATTTCAACAATTTCTGTTTATTACGTCTAGAGTTATGGCCCTTGTTTCACTTTATTGAACCTTGTGAACGCTCTAACTCTAAAAGTTATCATCCGATCTTTCTGAAATTTACATGCATTATTTAAATTAGTGAAACGAAGAAGTCTATTGAATTTCAGCGATTTCCGTTTTTTACGTCTAGAGTTATGGCCCTTGTTTCACTTTATTGAACCTTGTGAACGCTCTAACTCCAAAAGTTATCATCCGATCTTTCTGAAATTTACATGCATTATTTAAATTAGTGAAACGAAGAAGCCTATTGAATTTCAGCAAATTCTATTTATTACGTCTAGAGTTATGGCCCTTGTTTCATGTTATTGAACCTTGTGAACGCTCAAATAACAAAAGTTATCATTCGATCTTTGTGAAATTTATATGCATTATTTAGATTAGTGAAACAGGGAAGCTTATTGAATTTCAGCAATTTCCGTTAATTACATCTAGAGTTATGGCCCTTGTTTCACTTTGTTGTTTCTTGTGAACGCTCTAACAAAAAAAGTTATCAACCAATCTGTATGAAATTTATATGCATCATTTAAATTAGTAAAACAAAGAAGACTATTGAATTTCAGCAATTTCCGTTAATTACATCTAGAGTTATGGCCCTTGTTTCATTTTGTTGAATCTTGTGAACGCTCTAATGACAAGTTATCATCCGATCTGTTTGAAATTGATATGCATCATTTAAATTAGTGAAACGAAGAATCCTATTGAATTTCAGCAATTTCCTTTAATTACGCCATGAGTTATGGCCCTTGTTTCACTTTGTTGTACCTTGTGAATGCTTTAACGACAAAAGTTATTATCCGATCTGTATGAAATTTAAAGGTATCGTTTAAATTAGTAAAACGAACAAGCCTATTGAGTTTCAGCAAATTTCCGTTAATTACATCTAGAGTTATGGCCCTTGTTTCACATTGTTGAATCTTGTGAACGCTTGAACGACAAAAGTTATCACCCAATCTGTATGAAATTCATATGCATCATTTAAATTAGTGAAATGAAGAAGCCTATTGAATGTCAGCAATTTCTGTCAATTACTTCTAGAGTTATGGCCCTTGTTCTACTTTGTTGAATCTTGTGAACGTTCGAACGACAAAAGTTATCATCCGATCTGTATGAAATTGATATGTATTATTTGAATTAGTAAAACGAAAAAGTCTGTCGAATTTCAATAATTTCTGTAGATTACTTCCAGAGTTACAGCCCTTGTTTTAGTTTTTAGAACCCTCAAACGACGAAAATTATAATGTCATCTGTATGAAATTGTCTATTAAATGCCCCCTAATTACCTACAAAAGAACAAATATACGACAACTCTTGTCGACCGCTCGGACGATTTAGCTGCTGTGGGCGTATGTTTAGTTGCCTGGCAACCTATCTTTATCTGATTTCAACGAAATTGGCATGTATTAGACCGTAAATTTATGGATTATGACCCCTGGTTGTGCGAAAAATCACGTTTTTAGCCTGAGGACACTCTAGCGGCCACAATTTTTATCCAATTTTGATGAAACTTGAAATGTCTGTTTATAACCCAACGATCTCGGTTCCTTTCGATATTCACGCATATCGGACCGTAACTTCCTGGGTTATTGTCCCTGATTGTACAAAAAATACAGCTCGTTTTTAGCATGTGGTCAATCTAGAACCACTTAAAGGACAATATTGGTGCCAGTCATTATCACATATGTGATAGAGCTGGTTAAACACGTTCCAAATATAATTTTATGTCAGAGATCATTGCTACGATAGCTGAGTAATACAGTTTTTCTGAATCGGAAGTGACGAACCCCAAAGGAAAACACGAGTCGCCTCTCTATATAACTGACTGATGTGACGAATGATAACGGATATACGGGCGAATTTCTGCTCACTAATAATTCCTTCGGAGACCTGACAATTCAATAAAGTAATTGAATGTCATTAGATAAGAGGACAAAAGAAAAATAGAAATAGTCCGTACATTCCCTTGTTTATATTCATTCTATACCTTATAAAAACATGGTAATGCACGGACTTTTTCTGTTTTTCTTTCGTGTTCACTTATCTAGTGACAGTCAATTCTTTTTATGAATTGTCAGATATCCTTTCACAGTCTCACACAACAACTTTTGGTCTTCAAAGGAATTATTAGTGAGCAGAAATTCGCCCGTATATCCGTTATCATTCGTCACATCAGTCAGTCGTACGTAACTAACGTACGAAAATTAATTGGTGGCTAGCTTTTTTTTCGCACGTATACAGTGACACACTGATCCGCAGTGAATATTCGCTTGGCCGCTACAATCACTGATAAGGATGACATCGATGCGACTTAATGACTACAAAATATTAACTTTTTTCTTTCGACAAATTAAATTCTGAAACATTTTTTTTAGTATTAGAAAAATAAATAAACGTGTTTGAAGTATATCTTGATAAAAAAATATTCCATATTTAGCGTAAATAGGTACAGAAAATAGTACGCGGAGGCGTAAAATGGGTAAAACGATATAATTCTGCCCGTACCAGTTCATATTACTACGTTCGATGTAAACAACGCACGTGTGACCATCAATTTGACGTTTTTTTCTGTTTGTTTACTCTGAATTCTTTCAGAAGTACATTTTTTACTGCCTAATCTGATTGACCTGCTCGTGTTTGTTTTAAAACGAACAAAAACAAGCCACAGAAGTAATCTTTTTTGGCGTTATCGATGCCATCTTGCTTTGTTGGTAAACATTGTGATATGACGTCACCCTTAGAACTACAGCGGTCTGACCTTTTAAAGGTCAGTCATCTTGGACAGTGATAAAAGACGGATGTCGAATTAGGTCTGTAAAACAGATTGATACAGTGAATGGCCATTTTGCTCATTAATCCCAGCCAGAATTTGGCTATTTTCTAAATTTGCGTTAAAGTTTAAAATATTTGTTTTAGAACTGAAACATATAAACTATTAGTCAATCCCAACGCTAAAAACATCAACAGAATTGATTGTGTATATCTGAAATAGACCCGACCGACGCACAAAATAGTGCAATATGGCGGCCTCTATGAACAACCCTCGTAGACGCTGTCATTGAAGACAACGTCAATTCTATGAGTTGTAGATGTTATTTTTGTGAAAAAATCATTGGAAGAAGAGAGAACATGTTGGGACTGTACGAATTATATAGTCTTTATGGGTGCAACGGACACAATGCTGAAGATAAACCTATTGTTTACAATGTTGACCTCATGACCCATTGACGCCAATGTCATGACCTGTGATGTGTAGATCACGTGATATGGATATCACGGCTACTGACTGTGTCTGAGATACTTCTCCGCAGGTAGCGTGTCTCAGATGTTCAGAATGATCAGTCAGTTATATAGAGAGGCGACTCGTGTTTTCCTTTGGCGTTCGTCACTTCCGATTCAGAAAAACTGTATTACTCAGCTATCGTAGCAATGATCTGACATAAAATTATATTTGGAATGTGTTTAACCAGCTCTATCACATATGTGATAATGACTGGCACCAATATTGTCCTTTAAATATACCACCGTTATACCATAATGATGGTTGTGTTCGAATTTCGTGAAAATCAGACGGAAACTCTGACGGATTATGACCCCCGCTTGTACGAGAAAATCTCGTTTTTTTAACTTGTGGAACCACTAGAGGTCAGAATTTTTATCTGATTTGATAAACTGTTTAAATATATCACCGTTACACACTAA